CCACAACATAGCCTGTTCAATACCCAGCTAGGATTCCAGCCTCCTGCTAATGCAGACCTTGGGAGGGAGCAGTGATGGCGCAAGTCACAGGGCCCCTGACACCATGCCAGGGAGGCCTGGACTGAGATGGCTCCTGGCCATCATGAGCATCTGGGACATGAACAGGTCTCTCTCCATATGTATGTATCTCTACATGACATTCTCTCTGTCTCCGTGATTCTACCTCTCAAATAGAAAAAAAAATCTTTTTAAAGCAGGATATGAAAATATACACAATACAATGCCAACCCTGTAAGAGCAAAGAGAGATGGAGAGATACTGGGATAGAGAAAAAGAACCAATACAACAAAACAAAACAAACAACCCTAAAAATACATACTCCAAAATGGTAACAGCGATTATCTCTGGGAAATAGGATTACAGTAGTTTTAAATTTTCCGCTTCTTCCTTTTCTATATTCTTGGAATCTCTAGAATGAGCCTACATTATTTTTCAAACTAAAAACCACAGATTTTTAAAAAAGTAGTTTCATCAAAGTAAAGTCAATTTATGAAAAATCATCTGGTAAAGATACTATTTAAAAAGAAAAAGGATATCCTACCCAGATAGAAGCCCGAGAGCAGAGCATCAGGACCAAGATAACGACAAAATACCAAAGCAGGAAGCTCCCTATCGTCCCACAAGAGTCATCCTTCCGGCACTCAGCATCCTGGTTTGGAATGGTAAGACTTAAAGGTATGGGGGGAGGATCTACCTCCCAAAATAAGGAAAAGAGGTCTCCCATGATGGCTCCTTGCTTAGCAAATAAAACATGCTCAAGGGGATGAAGATGACTGGGAACTGGCTCATTCCATGCCACACAACTACTTCCTTGGCGACCTATTGTGACATCTACTTAAGCAACCACTACAGGAACTGACAAACACTTCTTGAACTTCTAAGGCTTTGGGAGATTGATCCCAATTATTTCTATGGAGGTTTATGGTGATTTCCTCCATATCTCAATAGGGTGTGATCTATTATACTCTTTTTTTTTTTCCTATAAAAACTATATACATCGTGCCTCGGTGTCTGAGGGGAATGGCTCCAGGATCTCTGCAGACACCAAAATCCACAGATGCTCCGGCGTTGTCAATAAAATGGCAGTCGTACTGGCGTACAACCTATCCACATCCTCCCACATCCGTTAAATCTCTGGATGACTTATGATACCTAAAACAATCTAAGTGCTATGTACATATTTTTATATTGTATTATTTGGAGAATAATGACAAGGAAAAAAGTGCACACGTTCAGTACAGACACAATTTTTTCAAAATGAGTTTTGATCTGTGGTTGGTTGAATCCACAGATACAGAGAGCAGACTGTAGGTTTTTTGTTTTTTTTTTTTATCTTTATCTTAAGTATGTGGTGTAAGGACTTGTATACAGCAGTTAAGAAGCCACTTAAGATGCCCATGACTCATGTCAGAGTGCCTGGCTCCGCTCCCTGATTCCAGCTTCCTACCAATGAGCACCCTGGGTGGCAGCAGGCATGGCTCACATAGTTGGTCCTTGCTACCCAGGTGGAGACCTGGATTGAATTCCTGGCTGCTGTCACAGTCTCAGCTGTAGAAGTCATTTGAGAAGTAAACCAGATGATCTCTCTACCTTTCAAAACAAATAAATACATTTTCAAAGTCTTTAAGTGCGTTAGTTATCTCTCATTTTTTTCAGTCTTCAATTCTAATGTATTATGGACAGAGCTATAATCCCCAAAATTCGTATGTTGATAACCTCACCCCCAATTTGCTTTTATTTGGAGATAGCATCTTTTAAAAAGATAACTAAAGTTAAATAAAGTTATAAGGGTGGAACTGTGGCGTCCTTTAAAGAAGAAGAGAGGCCAGGGTTGTGGTAGAGTGGATATGCTGTTGCTTGCAACCCTAGCATGCCATACGAGAGCTAGTTTGAGTCCTGGCTGCTCTACTTCCAATCCAGCTCCCTGCTAAAGCACCTGGGAATGCAGCAGAAAATGGCCCAAGTACTTGAGCCCCTGCCACCCATGTGGGAGACCAGGATGGAGTTCTTGGCTCCTGGCTTTGGCCTGGTCTATAGCCCTGGCTATTGTAGACATTTGGGGAGTGAACTGGCAGATGGAAGATATCTCTCATTCTCTGTCACTCTGCCTAATAATATTGCATCTTAAAAATATAAAAAGAAGGGGGAGAGACACCAGAGTTTCTGAGCACAGAATGGAAAAGGCCAGGTAAGGACCCAAGAGCAGGAAGCCAGTGCGCGAGGAGACAAGCCTCGAGAGAAACCGGTTCTGCTGACACCTTCATCTTGAATTTCCAACCTCCAAACTTGAAAAAATAAATTTCTGCTGTTTACACCACCCTGTGATAACTTCCTTGCGGCAGCCCTAATATATAATGCCAACTGTCTACCAAATTTGGTCAGTAGTGCTCTTTTTTAAGCCTCAAATAAATGCACAAAAATGTCTTGTTTACAGTACGAGGAGAAAGTACAGATGTACTTGCAAAGGATTATAGTAAATGTATACAATTTCTTTTCAGGGAAGAATCAGCCATGGGAGAGGTGGGCCACTGGTATAATTTTGACTGTACATTGACCTGACCCTTTTACTTTGAGGATTTTTCTTTTTTCCCTTTTTTTTTGTGGGGGGAAGGGGAAGAGGATGTGTGTCCATTTACTGATTGCTGGGAATACACTCTATTGAGAATATATGGCATGCATCCGGAGGAGAAATTCACCAAATCTGAAGCAAAACCCCTCCAGAGCCTGCGGTGAGTTAATAAGGTAGCAGAGAGCACAGCTAAGGGCACGGCAAGCGACTCAGCCAGCCACGCAGAGTTGGTAGCAAGAGCCTGGCTGCAGATTCCTTTGGAACTTATTTATTCTTCACTACTTGGGAAGTACCAGGAAGGAGAGATCAGTCCGCCTCTTCAGCTTAAATAGATGATAAGAGGGAGGCTGTGAATCACTTAAATGCCCCTCAATTATGCTCTTATTTCACATTCTTTCAGCAGTCTCATTTTTACAATTTCTCCATGTCAGTTCACAGGTCTCAGAATTGTGATAAGCAGCTATACGGATTTAGAAAAGAGTACTAACTGCTGGAAAAGACTATATCCATTGGAATCCAACTTCTAGCGCTCAGTTACACTCTGTTCTAATACTCTCCTTTGATGTCACACTGCCAAATTTCTCCCAAGATGTCTGTTTTAACTCGCTGATACCATAAAATGATACAAACTCCAGTTACCCTCAACAGGACAGAAAGATTAAGTTACTAGAATGTCTTAAAGAATTATTAAAAACTCTTCAATTATATATCCAGTACACATAACACAATGGTTATAACCTGTAATTGGATAAAATGCTAAAATGTACCCATAACTGCAGTTATATGCCAATATCTCTCCCAAATGTTGCAATGAATACTTTTCTTAAAATGACATCAATGTTAAACATTTTTCAAGTTAGCACAACTCTAAATCAAAAACTAGAGCAAAACAACATTGTTGCTAAGGCAATCTAAAAATGATAAAATCTTGGGGCTGGTGCTATGGTGCAGCAGGTAAAGCCACCATCTGCAGTGCCCGCATCCCCTATGGGCACCAGTTCAAGTCCTGGCTGCTCCACTTCCAATCCAGCTCTCTGCTATGGCCTGGGAAAGCAGTGGAAAATGCCCCAAGCACTTGGGCCCCTGCACCCACGTGAGAGACCAAGAAGAACCTCCTGGCTCCTGGCTCCAGATTAGCTCAGACTCAGCCATTGCAGCCATTTGGGGAGTGAAGCAGCAGATGGAAGACCTCTCTCTCTCTGCCTCTCTCTAACTCTGCCTTTCAAATAAATAAATCTTTAAAAAAATAATAAAAAAAATAAAATATTTTAAAAGTGAGATAAAGAGGCTAGCATATCTTTAGATTTTCATTAATCTGTGAGCAACGCCATAAGGAAAGTTCATTTGCTTCTAATAGGATTATTTCGGGAATTTTTTGGTCATTGGGCATACATGACGTAACTATTCATTAGCTTATTCTGAGACAGCTTGATTTTTTATTACGGGGCCCATTTTTCCACACACAGAGTCCCCAGAGGCCCTGAGTGTCCAGCTGTAGCATCAGCCTCAGCCCATGTCACCACCTCCAAGAAGCCCCGCAGAGCTGGGGCTGGGCTGGACCTGCCTCCTCGGGTGCACTCTGGGCGCCTCACACGCCCTGCTCTTGCACCTGCTGGCCTGACACGGCCCCGTCCCCGGGGCCGGAACCAGGATCTCTTCCTTCCCACATCCGCACCCGGCTCCGGGGCTCACAGTAGGCATCTTGTTTCTTAAAGAAAACCCAACTCCAGTCTCCGACGAACCCCAGCCTTCTCCTCAGGACTCAAAGTTCTTCCAAACAATATGCGGAGAAATTAAAGTGTCTTAACCCGAAATGCACTAGCCACTTCGATGAAACGAATTTTTCCTGTGAATGCTACAGCCCTTCCACACGGATATGTAGGGTGTACACCCGGTCAGAATACCTGAAATAGACCTATTTTAATGCAGGGAAAAGAATGCTTTGTCACTGCTGACTGCGTACGTACACAATAGCACGCCCTCCGTATCCTACAATTACAAAAGTCTGCTTAAAAATGTGGGTCGCTAAAGGCCCTAAGGAAAGGAAAATTATATTAATATGTACAAAATCCGTCTTGTTAGAGTCATTACTATTCGCGCGCGTTCAGAATCTGGTCTCGGTTTTACTCCTCACATCCGTCCCGGCAGCAGAGCGGAGCCCCAAACCGGAGCGCTGTTTCCCTGGTAACGCAGCTAGGGCGCCTCGCGCGCGCTCCGCCTCCCTTCGTTCTCGCGAGAAGAGACGGCCCCGTGTTTCCGGTAACTGTAGTTCCGCCAGCCGGCCTCCTCCGCCTTCGAGCCGGGTTTCGCGCATGTGCAATAGAGAGAGGCGCGAGCCAGCGGCTTCCGGCCGAAGAGCATGGTGCGTTTTTGGGGTGGTTTTCGTGCTTCCTGGATGTAGCATCCGCGCGGGCTGTGGGAGTCCCACGCCAGCTAAACTACTCGGGGTTCAGCCGTGGGAGGAGGTGGCCAGGCCTCCTGTCACTCAGAGTGGAGAGGAAGAAAGAAGCTGCTAAACTTGGTGCCGAGGGAGCCAGGGCGGGAAGCCCTCCGGCTTGGGGAGAAGTGGTGGCGGGAAGGGTACAGCTCTCCCGTCCGGGCCACGATCCCTGTTAGGAGTGCCCCGCGTGTCTGCGAGGGATGAGTCTAACAAAGCAAAAGACACACACAGGTCCCAGCGTGGGCCCGAGCGGAAGACGCGCGTTCCCCGCCGGCCCCCGTGCTCCCTTCCCACCCGGGTATCCGGCGACCCCACGCGGGGCTGCCCCGCGTGCCACGGAGTGCAGAGTGCTAGCACACGCAATCACCAGCCCTTCGATTAGGAACTGGGACACGGTACTCCCGGGCGGCCCTAAATTGACCTCTGCAATCAGTAGCCAGCTCCCTGTACCGCGGTACAGGGAAGGCTTGGAGTTCGCTTTTCCTATGAAAAGTTCCCTTTTCCTGTGCTTAAGATTTTAAAGATGAAACGAGCGAGCGTGCCGCTTTAGGAAGGACACAGCAGGGTGGCTTCTTAGTGCTTCTGGTTCATGTCCTCTGTCTTTTGTTTCTGAGTAGATGCAGGGGGATCCGAACCCCAGCGCTTCTCTCATTGACAGAACCATCAAGATGAGGAAAGAAGCGGAAGCTAGGAAGGTGGTTTTAGCCTGGGGACTGCTGAATGTGTCTGTGGCCGGGATGATATATACTGAAATGTAAGTTAATCGGCCCCACCAGGTGGAAACTGAGGAGCCGGTGGCTCATTGTTTTGATTTTTAGTCTCCCCCACCCTTTTTTTTTTAAGTTATTGAAAATTCTTCCTAATTTTTTCAGGACTGGAAAATTGATTAGTTCATATTATAATGTGACATACTGGCCCCTTTGGTATATTGGTAAGTGATTTTTCGCTGTAATTTAGATTTACTTCCAGTGAAAAGCAACAGGGTAAAACCCCTTTGGAAGGAAGCTTCTGGTGGAGGAAACCTCCAAATTAATAAACAGTGCAAATCGGGGTAAATGAGTGCCATAAAGAAAAGCAGTGAGATTTGTCAGAGGTGAGATTTGTATGTTTTCAGTCACCTGAAATTTCAGCTCTCGACATCTCTGTTTTCACCCTCAAGCCAGCCAGCGTGTCTACTCCACTGATGCCTTCCTCATTCTCTCCATTCTTTGCTCTTCTCTGCCTACTCTTTCGTAGTCCTTGTGTGTGAAGTCCTGCATGTAATAGACATTCATGAGTGGCAGCCATCATGAGGAGTCAGAGAATAGTTTTCAATTTTGTTGTGAATTTCCTAACGTATGGGAGGCTTTTTTCCCCCCAATAAGTGTCCCCCTCTTTAAAAAATTAATTGTCATTCTCTTCCAGAACTTGCCCTCGCATCTCTCTTCAGCCTTAATGCCTTATTTGATTTTTGGAGATATTTCAAATATACTGTGGCACCAACAAGTCTGGTTGTTAGTCCTGGACAGCAAACACTTTTAGGGCTGAAAACAGCTGGTAAGTATTTCATATCCCTTGCCAAGGTGAGGGCAAAGGTTGGCAGTAAATCTTTCTCAATTTAATTTTCCCTTTTCATAGACTCAGAGCTAGAAGGGACTTCTAAGGCCATCTGGTTCGACTGCATTAAGCAGGTCTATAATAAATTATCATTTCTATTTGTGCAAATTGAATGGACCCAGCATTCAGCAACCTCACTGAAGTTTGTTCCTTTGTTAATTAAAATTAAATGACTAACTTGGTGCACTAAATCAGTTTCTTATTTTGAACTCAATGGAAATGGCAAACAACTAATGTGTGTCCTTTGGAAATAGTATTTTATGTTACTTTCTGTTTTACTGAAGCGTTAGTTTCTTTAACCTGATTTCATGCTTACACACACATATGTATGTTTTTTTCCCCCCTTCTAGTTGTACAGACTACTCCTCCACATGATCTGACAGCAACACCAATCCCTCCTTCTCCGTCTTCTCCTTCAATTCAGGGTCAGAGTGTATTGAGTTATAGCCCATCTCGGTCACCCAGCACGAGCCCCAAGTTCACCAGCTGTATGACCGGATACAGCCCTCAACTGCAAGGTCTGTCCTCTGGTGGCAGTGGCTCTTACAGCCCCGGAGTGACCTACTCGCCTGTCAGCGGTTACAGCAAGGTAATGACTCTTTTCTCTTGGCCACGCACATTAGTTTAAAATTGGGGGGTACATTGAAAATCATCTTTAAAAAGTCAGGAAAGTGAAGACCAGTGGGTAATTGACTTGCCCAAATCACTCATTTAAGAGCCAAGAATAGAACCCAGGTTTCTTGACACCTAGTTAGAATTTTTTACACATCATCTTAAAGAGAAAAGGCATTTGCAAAGGTGAGGAGGTATGAGGTTCACCATCTAGGATTTTTCATAGTCTTTACAAAACAAGTTGAAACTAGGATAATTTTTTAGGTCGGTTTCCTCCCTTTTGTTTTCCCTTTCTCTACTTCTCTGTGTAAAGCCTCCATATGTCCTTCTAAATGTTACGCTCTTTATCATGCTGGAGAATCCTAGCTGAAGACTGAGACTGTGTGTGGTGTGACTGAGTGTGCAGCATCTCCATTTCCGTGTGATGAACAGAACCCGCATTCCCGCTCCCACACTAATGTGGGCTTTTGCCCTGAGGTTTAGGCTTATCAGGAACAAAGTTGTCAGACTGAGATTGTGACTCTTCCCTGAATCCTAAGTGTGAAGGCGGGGTGTTTCAGACGCCCTCACTGTTGTGTTGGCCAAAGTTTTACAGCTGCTGGTTGCAAGAGGAACATCTGGAGAAACCAATGCACTGCCCTTAGCCTTTTGTGTAGTATTTCTGGGTAATAAAACTCCATACTGTTGATAACCCAGTATTAGTGTGGGCAGGTAATAGAATTTAGAAAATTGTTTGCAAACTAGGTATCATCAAAAAGTGGGTATATGATGATAATTCATGACCTATACATAAATATGACTTTAAAAAACCATTTTGGGGGTAGACATTTGGCTTAGCAGTTACAATGCCGCTTGTGACACCTGCATTCCCTATTGGAGCACCTGGTTTTGAGTCCTGGTTCTGCTCCCGATTCTAGCTTCCTGCTCATTGTAGTCATGGGAGGCAGCAGGTGCTAACAAAATGACATGGGTCCCTGCTGCCCACATGGAACCTTGGAATGAGTTCGCAGCTCTAGGCTTTGGCCTGGCCCCATCCCAGCTGTTGTGGACATTTGGGGAGTGAGCCAGTGAAGGGGAGACCTCTCTGTCTCTCTTTCAAATAAATAAAATAAAATGTAAAATAAGTTGTTCCTACAAGAACTATGATCATTACAGAAAATCAGACAAATAAAATAGAAGGAAAATTTCTCATAGTCCTATTGCTAGCAAATAATCTGTTTAATGGTTATTTAACACTCCTCTAGTGGGCACACCATAGTTTATTGATAAATATTCAAATTGTTTTCATTTTACAAAAACTATTCTTAATTGCACTGAATAGCTCTGTTTGCAAAAGCTCTTGGAAAGTTTGGGGTGGCTATCCAAAAGAATTGTACCAATCTACATTGTCACAGAGATAAGAGTGCTCATTTCATCACACGATTATTTAAAAAAAAAGATTTTTATTTTCTCAGGCTATCAGCCATGTTTTTTTGTTTTTGTTTTTGTTTTTGTTTTTTGTTTTTTGTTTGCATTTTTTTTTTGACAGAGTTACAGACAGAGAGGGAGAGAGAGACAGAGAGAAAGGTCTTCCTTCCGTTGGTTCACTCCCCAGATGGCTACCACGGATGGCGCTAGCCGATCTGAAGCCAGGAGCTTCTTCCTGGTCTCCCATGTGGGTCAGGGCCCAAGCACCTGGGCCATCCTCCACTGCCCTCCTGGGCCACAGCAGAGAGCTGGCCTGGAAGAGGACCAACCGGGACTAGAACCCGGCGCCCATATGGGATGCCAGTGTCTCAGGTGGAGGATTAACCAAGTGAGCCACGGTGCCGGCCCCAATCAGCCATGTTTGATCAATCCCTAGCATAGGGGAAATCTCGGTAGGACAGTGGATATTGGGAAGCCACACAGGAAGTGAGAGGCATCTATGGGAAACACTCATGCCAGACGGTAGAGTCATTTTCAGCCGCTGTCTGTGCTGAAAGACCAAATCCCAGGGTGCCAGCAGAGGCATCTAGAAAATATGCAGATGTGTTTTTCCCCCTTGGCTGAATAGACATCATCACTGAAAAACCCAGAGAAAGGCTGGGGACGAAGCCTGAAAATGTTTCTTAAAACAGGAATGCAATTAAAAGATTTTGAACTTAGCTGGAAATAATTATTGAATTGGCCTACCTTTTGTCCTGCTGAGCAGGACTAGGGTTCCAGAGTAAGGTAAAATTAGTTATAGTGAAAGAATTTTCAAAAAAAAGAAAATTTTTCCATATGTTTTTCTCCAATCTGACTTTAAAATCTATACCTGGTTTACAAAGATGTTTGAACAATCACCAGTGAATATTAGAGGCAAGAAAAGGACATCTTTCTACTGTTATTACTTTGTTTCCACATTCCTCTTTCAATTTTTTCTTTTTAGTTTATGGATACAGCTTTTGTATTTCTTTCTCCTTATATATATTGAAATCTCTGATAAGAGATAAAGTTATCTCAGAATCCCCAATTATTTTTAGCTACTTTGTACATAAGAATTAAGATATATTTGCTTGTTGGTTTCTGAGAGTAATTTTTCTAGACACTGAAAATTCAATACTTTTCAAGCCTATTAGGGCAGCATCCTAACCTGTAGGAAGATCCAATAAAAGTTTACTGGATTAGAAAATAAGTTAACACTGTCTAGGCTACAAGAAAAGAAATCTGGAAAACTCATTATTGGAGATATTTGTATTTTTTTAAAACATATCACAAGATCAATTATAAAATAAAATTTCAAAATAATCTACAAGGAAAATGTTCATTTTCATCTACTTGATGAAAGAGGGACAGAGAGTTCTTCCACACTGTCCGCTTCCAAAATGTTGACAATAGCCAGAGCTGGGCCAGGCTGAAGCCAGGAGTCCAGAAATCCATCTGGATCATCCACAAGAGCGCTGAGACTCCAGGCATTTGAGGTATCAACTGCTGCCTCCCGGGATGCATTAGAGGAAGCCGGATTGGAAGCAGAGGAGTGGGGACTCAGACTGGCACTCCGATACAGGATGCAGGCGTGGCAAGTGGTAGCACAACCTGCTGGGCCTCAGTGCCTGCCTCTGTTTAACTTTGTAGGGAAACACCATATTGTGTTGTGTAGGCAGTGTACCATTTTGTCCTCCCATTTTAGCATGATCTTTTAAAATAATTATATTAATCTGCTTGTACTCGCATAACAGAATACCACAGGCTGGATGACTGAAACAACTGAAATTTTATTTTCTCTCTCAAGTTCTGAAGGTTAGGGAAATCTAAGATCAAAGCCTGTTTATTTTGTGGTGAGGGCTCTCTTGGCTTACAGCCAGCCACTGTGTCCACACGTGACCTTTGTGTGGGGTATCTTAGAACTACACTAATCCTCTGGACCGAGGCTTCACTTAACTTCATTACTTGGTTATGTCAAATACAGCCACACTGGGAGTTAAGGCTTCAGCAAGTCCAGTTTTAGGGGGACACAAGCCTCCAGTTCATTACATGGCTTAGATGTCTTTTCCTACTAGACTGTAACCCCCTTCAGCACAGAATTACGATGTTTATTTCCTTACCACTCTGTATGGAATGCAGTGCTGCATACATGTTTATTGAGCCAAAGTAATGAAATGAATATTTTTTTCTAGAAAAAATTCCAAAATTAAGAGCTATGAAGTCTAAGTAAATCAAGAAAGAAAATTTAAGGATTATTTATCAAATACCATCAAATAATCTACAGAAGACCTTTAGGGCCCTGAGGTTTTGCCATTGAGTTCTCTGAAATTTTCAAGGAAGTTACTTTATAAACTTTATTTTGGAAATTTTTTTTACCCACAGAAGTGAAGAGACTAGCATAACGAACTCCAGCATATCTGTTACATATCATAGCTAGCAATTTGCTAATGCATGAACAGCTAATTATGATCTAATAAACAACATGCTAATTAAATAAATTCTAGAGTTAAAAAATTGGGTGGAAATCTTGTTTCTGCCAGTTGCCTAAACTCAGAAAATAAATACAATAGTATTTATCTGTTATGAGAGGATAAACTGTAGCACGATTAGCATAGTGTTGGTAGATAAATCCATAGTAATGTTATAAATTATGACCAAAAATGGTAAAGATGGTTCTACCACTTCTCAGTTCACTTTTTGGAGTAATAAAAGCTCAAGTGGGGCCGACACTATGGCGTAGCAAGTGAAGCCACTGCCTACAGTGCCCGCATCTCATATCAGCGCCGGTTCAAGCCCTAGCTGCTCCACTTCTGATCCAGCTCCCTGCTGATGTGCCTGGGAAAACAATGGAAGATGCCCCAAGTCCTTGGGCTCATGCACCCACGTGAGACTCGGGAGAAGCTCCTTGGTCCTGGCTTTAGATTGGCCCGCCTTCAGCCATTGCAGCCATTTGGGGAGTGGACCAGCAGATGAAAGACCTCTCTGCCTCTGTTACTCTGACTTCCAGATAAATAAATAAATCTTTTTTTAAAAAAGGGGGGCCAGTGATGTGACGCAGCAGGTTAAAGCCCCAGCCTGCAGTGCCGACATCCCATATGAGCACCGGTTCAAATCCCGGTTGCTCCTTTTCCAATCCAACTCTCTGCTATGGCCTGGGAAAGCAGTAGAAGATGGGCCAAGTGCTTTGGCCCCTGCACCCATGTGGGAGACACGGAGGAAGCTCCTGGCTCCTGGTTCTGGATCAGCTCAACTCGGGCTGTTGCATTCATTTGGGGAGTGAACAGCAAAATGGAAGACCTCTCTCTGGGTCTACCTCTCTCTCTAACTCTGTCTTTCAAATAAATAAAATAAATCTTAATAAAAAAAAGCTGGGGCTGGCACCGTGGCTCACTTGGTTAATCCTCCACCTGCAGCACCGGCATCCCATATGGGCGCTGAGTTCTAGTCTCGGTTGCTCCTCTTCCAGTCCAGCTCTCTGCTGTGGCCCAGAAAGGCAGTGGAGGATGGCCCAAGTGTTTGGGTCCCTGCACCTGCATAGGAGACCAGGAGGAAGCACCTGGCTTCTGGCTTCAGATCAGCCAGCGCCAGCCGTAGCAGCCATTTGTGGAGTGAACCAACGGAAGGAAGACCTTCCTCTCTGTCTCTGTCTCTCACTGTCTATAACTCTACCTGTCAAAAAATTAAAAAAAAAAAAAAATTAAGAAAACACAAAAGGGACAGATAATGGACCTCGTGATTAAGATGCCCACATCTGCCTGGATTCAATACCCCTCTCCATGTACACTCCAGCTTCATGCTAATGCAGACCTTGGATACAAAGTGATGTCTCAGAAACTTTGAGTTCTTGACACTCACCCATGGGGGGGACCTGCATTGAGTTCCTGGCTCCTGGCTTTGGCCTAGGACAGTGCCAGCCTTTACGAGCTTCTGGGGAGCAGGCTAGTAGATAGGATGTTGGTCATTTTGCTCTGTGTGTGTGTGTGTCTGCATTTCAAATGAGTAAACATTCTTTAAAGACAGTCTTAGGAAAGTTGTAAGTTAAATAATCGTTTGAATTCACAGAAATTTTTATCACTAATTTTTTCCAATATGACATTTACTTACTTCATAAGTAAATCTTACTGCCTTTTTTTTTCTGGAAGTGCAGAGAACTAGGGAGAAATACTGTCCGTCCACTGATTGACTCAGATACCCACAACAGTCAGGGCAGGACTAGGCCGAAGCCAGAGCCTGGATCTCAAGATCTCCCAAGTGCCGGAAACACAACTACATGACCCATTGCATGCTGCCTCACCTTGTGCACGTTAGCAAGGAGCTTGAATTGGAACGAGTACTCAGACTCGGGCACCCTGATAACGAATGCAGGCATCCCGAGTAGTATGAGTAGTATCTTAACTGCTTCACCGAATGTCTGCCACCCCCCAGATAACTTTTATTTTTCGTTAAATATCCATTTGAAAGGCAGGGTTTACTCTCCAAATTACTGCAGCAACTGGGACTAGACCACACCGAAGCCAGCAGCCAGGAGCCTCTTCTAGGTCTCCCGCTTGGGTAAAGGGGAACAAGCACTTGGCCATCTTCCGCTTCTCTCCCAGGAGCATTAGCAAGGAGCTGGATCGGAAGTGGAGCAGCCGGACTCTCAACCAGTGCCCTTATGGGATACCAGCACTGCAAGCACAGGCTTAACCTATGCCACAGTGCTGGCACCAGATGTAGGGGTTTTAGTGGTCAGTTTATCCCACTGTGCTGTAACAGCCACCCCCAAAGTAACTTTAAAAAAAAAGATTTATTTCTTTTTTATTTGAGAGGCGGAGAGAGAGGTCTTCCATCCACTGGTTCACTCTCCAAATGGCCGCAACAACTGGAGCTGAGCCAGTCCGAAGCCAGGAGCCAGGAGCCTCTTCCAGGCCTCGCACACGGGTACAGGAGCTCAAGGACTTGAGCCATCATCTTCTGCTTTCCCAGGCCATAGCAGAGAGCTGGATTGGAAGTAGAGCAGCCTGGTCTCGAACCGGCATCCATATGGGATGCTGGCACTTCAGGCAGTGGGCTAATCCACTACACCATAGCGCCGGCCCCCAAAGTTACTTTTAAATGTTAATTGATGACCAAGTAATGTTTATCCCAGTGCTACAATAATATATTTATTCAAAAGTTCATTAAAAGCTAAATTTATAAAATGCTATTTCTTTAACCCATTTTAATAGTAAAAGCTTTGCTTATGTGACTCATACAAGAGAGACACTCTGAATCAATAGCTTATAGTCATATATTAGTAGTATTCATTTAAATCTAATGAGGAGTTCAAAAGTTCTTTCATAATTGATTAAAAAACACAAGGCTCCAAAATTAAGCTTTAGAAATAGGTAGTATATGAAAAAAATATATAAATATTAGCAAGAAATTTCTACGAAGAAAAAACATTTACTTGGATAAAGATACTGTTACAGAGATTTTCTTCCTGAGGTCCATGTTGTAGCACAAATGCTGGCATCCCATATTTGTACCAGTTCAAGTCCTGGCTGCTCCACTTCTGATCCAGCTCCCTGCCTAATGCACCTGGGAAAGCTGCAGAAGATGGCCCAAGTGCTTGGGCCCCTGAACCCACGTGGAGACCTGGATGGAGTTCCAGGCTCCTGGTTTTGTCCTGGCCCAGCCTTGGCTGTTGAGGCCATGTGGGAGTGAACCCGCAGATGGAAATTCTCTTTCTGTCTCTCTTTTTTTCCTCGCACTCTAACTCTGCCTTTCAAACGAATAAATTTTTTTTAAAAAAAGCTAAGCTTTTCTTCCCACATTAATGTCTAAGGCTCACACAATTTCTTCAATCCTAACCAGCCAGGTTTTTGGTAGGTTTATAAAGTATTACTCATTGATTTCTTTAAAGTTAATGCTGATGAAGGCCGGCGCTGCGGCTCACTAGGCTAATCCTCCGCCTAGCGGTGCCAGCACACTGGGTTCTAGTCCCGGTCGGGGCGCCGGATTCTGTCCCGGTTGCCCCTCTTCCAGGCCAGCCCTCTGCTGTGGCCAGGGAGTGCAGTGGAGGATGGCCCAAGTTTGGGCGCTGCACCCCGTGGGAGACCAGGAAAAGCACCTGGCTCCTGGCTCCTGCCATTGGATCAGCGCAGTGCGCCGGCCACAGCGCGCCGGCCGCGGCGGCCATTGAAGGGTGAACCAACGGCAAAGGAAGACCTTTCTCTCTGTCTCTCTCTCTCACTGTCCACTCTGCCTGTCCAAAAAAAAAAAAAAAAAAAGTTAATACTGATGAAAAGAGCCAAGAAAATCTTGAGTAAAACTTAGATGTTAATAATTAAAATATTAAATAAAATAAATAATTAAAATAATAATAATATTAAAATATTAAATAATAAAAAAAAATAGTTAAGCCAGCGCTGTGGTGCAGTGGGTTAATCATCTGCCTGCAGCGCCAGCATCCCATACGGGATCCCCTGCACACACATAGGAGACTGGAAGAAGATACTGCATCCTGGCTTCAGGTTGGTGCAGCTCCAGCCGTTGCAGCCAACCTGGGGGAGTAAACCAGTGGGTGGAAGACCTTTCTGTCTCTCCCTCTCATTGTCTGTAACTCTACCTCTCAAGTAAATAAATAAAATCTTTTAAAAAATTAAAAGATTAAGGGTTGGCATTGAGATGCAGTGGGTTAAACTGCCACATGAGAAGCTGGGGTTCCATATTGGACACTGGTTTGAGTCCCAGCGTTCCTTTTCAGATCCAGCTCCCTGCTAATGTACCTGGGAAGGCAGCAGAAGATGGCCCAGGTGGGGACCATGAGGGAGTTCCTGGCTCCTGCCTTTGGCCTGGCCCTTATGGCCATTAGAGGAATGAACCAGTGAATGAAAGGTCTTTCTGGTCTTTCCCTCCCTCTCCCTCACTCTGCCTTTCAAATAAATAAATCCTTTTTTAAAAATCAGCAGTTGTTTTTTTTTTTTAAATACTTCATAAATTAAAGGAAATGCAAATTAAATGTGCTTTCAAAAATTCTTGTATAACACATAAATATTTTAAAGTTGTAATGTTGGTGAATGTATACCAAATTAAGTGCTCCTATCCGCGTTTTCTAGGAGTATAACTTCATGTAACATTTCATTTAAGGGATAGGAATAGGTATTTAAAAATATTTATATGGTTTGACCACATAATTTCAGTTTTAGGAATCTATCATCAGAAATTCAAGCAAAGATTTAAGTGCAGCTGTGTTTATCATGACATTATTTACAATAGCCAAAAATTACAATCAGAATGTCCAGAAGAAGAAAATGTAAAAATAAATTATGATATGTTTGCATTTTTGAAACATACAGCCAGTATGAAAATATTTATAAAGGATTTTAGTAGAAAAAGCTTAGTTAACTTAAAAAAGAAAGAAGATATAAAGTCAACCAGTATTGTTTCAGTTTTATAAAAACAAAAATATAGTGGCATAGCTATGTATATTTTAAAGATTTAAAAATAAATAAAATGTGAACAACAAAATAAAACGTAGCATTTATTTACCCATTCACCTACTGAAGGACATCTTGGTTGCTCTCGACTTCCGGCAGTTATGAATGAAGCTGTTATAAGCATGCACTTGTGGGTTTTTGTGCAGACCTCAGCTTCCAGCTCCGTTGACTGCTAAGTCCTTATGGTAAGAGCATGTCTCGCTGTGGGAGAAGCTGCCCGACTGGCTTCTGAAGTGGCTGTCCCATTTTGCATCCCACCAGCAATGACAGAGATTCTGTACCACAACCTCTCCAGCATTTATTATCGTCAATTAAAAATAAAGCAAGGGTTTTTTTATTTTGTACAGTTGGCGAGTTTCAGCCCCTCTCCTTCTTCCCCGTACCCTACCACTGTTGGGCCAGTGGAGAGCAGCGGGCTGAGGTCTCGCTACCGTTCTTCACCCACCGTCTATAACTCGCCCGCTGACAAGGAGGACTACATGACAGACCTGCGGACTTTGGACACTTTCCTTAGAAGCGAAGAAGAGAAACAGCATAGAGTTAAGCTGGGTACACGTATTTTTGTTTATATTTAATATACTCATTCTCTGTCACATTACATAGTCCTCAGTGTACTATTGCTTTGATACCTGAATGTAAGTTTTTATGTCTCCTTTACTAATACATCTGTGTAGCTTAGAAGAGAAACACATTCTGTTCCTCTTTATCTGTAATACAATTTTACGCAGTTAGAATTCACCCAATTTAAGAAGTAAAATGTAGCTGAACTGAGAAATCGTGAACCGTTCATCTACAATAAGATTGAAAGCCTTTACATATAATGTAAGTTACAGTTTCTGTTTGAAGTTGAATCTATAAAATAATGTTTGGGAAGCAGTACCTTGCGAAGTGTATTCCGATGGTAATTGCCTCTTTTCAGGTTGTCCTTGGGAAGGCAGTGTAGAGAGGCGGGATGAGAAAGCATGTCTGCTCTAGAGGTGCCGCTGTCTTCAGAGCACTTTCGTTTGCCCTTTAGCATTTACTTAAAACCTGTAGTTTACCTTCAGGAAAAATGTTAACAAATCGTAATCTGTTTGGGGTGAATTTGGTTGTTACCAAGTCAGTTATTTGAAACCAAGTTAGGTTATTGAGCTGAATAATGATTTTCGCCCTCAGGAGCTTTGACGGGAAGCACAGTAGGTGCTAAAGCGTGGCCGGAGGGAGGAAGCCACTAGCTGGACCACGGCTCTGTGTCCTTGAAACCTCCCCAGGGATGCAGTGCCCCACAAATGTCAGAGACAGATCAGTGTTCTCTTGTTGGTTTTCAAACATGTATTTCTTTTTTGAAATATTTTAAGTGTGCTGAAAATTATTTAGAGCATAATACGAAGAGCAGTGTGTATACTCTCTACACATCTTTGTGATTTCCAGATATTTTCTGACTTCATTTTTTATTGCTTTGACCTGTAAGAGTTACTTGAAAGTATTGTTGTTTGGAAGTGTTAATTGGTGTTGGTTTTAATTTCCAAGCCTGAAGAGGCTAGATAGCTTTTTTTCTCCCCAAATTACACTGATTAGAGATTCTGATCTGTACTTGGAAATTTGGAGGGTTTTTTGTTTTGTTTTGCTTTGCTTTTTAAATATTTATGTATCTGAGAGGCAGAGTCACAGAGAAAGGGAGAGACAGAAGGTCCTCGATCCGCTGGTTCACTCCCCAGGTGGTTGAATGGCCAGAGCTAAGCCAGTCCGGAGCCAGGAGCCAGGAGCCTTCCCAGGGTCTCCCACTCGGGTGCGGGGGCCCAAGGACTCAGGCCATCTTCCGCTGCCTTCCCAGGCCGCAGCAGAGAGCTGGGTCGGAAGAGGAGCAGCTGGAACTCGGGCACCACAGCGTCAGCCCTCTTTTGTTTTTTTGACACTTGCTTTCAGGCTGTGTATATGTTCAGGTTTTTTTTTTTTTTTTTAACAGTTTTTACCCAAAATGTATTGGCAAGAATGTGTACCCCTAAATTGGGGACTGCATGTTTATTGAGCAGGATTCTTGAGGGTGCTCCTCAGTCGTTCTCTGTATCTGTTTGACCTACCAGTTATTAAGACAGTGCATCTGGAGCTCCCATGACTGTCTCCCATTCCGTGTTATTCATGATTCTCTCACATTTGCTACACATATATGAGATTATAATCAATGTATGTAAGCTCAGAATTGTTTACTTCATTCTGGTAAATCATGCCCTTTATCTCTTGCATTTTCCTTATTTCGTCTGACATTTTCACAGCTATGCTAATTTCCTTTTGGTTAGGATGGCCTGGTACATCTATGTCTAGTGCTATACTTTGAACTTGTCAATGCCCTTAGGTTTTATTAAGTGATTAGGCCGGCGCCACGGCTCACTAGGCTAATCCTCCACCTTGCGGCGCCGGCACACCGGGTTCTAGTCCCGGACGGGGCTCCAGATTCTGTCCCGGTTGCCCCTCTTCCAGGCCAGCTCTCTGCTGTGGCCAGGGAGTGCAGTGGAGGATGGCCCAAGTCCTTGGGCCCTGCACCCCTTGGGAGACCAGGAGAAGCACCTGGTTCCTGGCTTCGGATCAGCGTGGTGCGCAGGCCACAGGGCGCCGGCCGCGGTGGCCATTGGAGGGTGAACCAACGACAAATGGAAGACCTTTCTCTCTCTCTCTCTCTCACTGTCCACTCTGCCTGTCAAAAAAAAAAAAAGTGATTAAGTATCTAATTCATAAGTAGTAAGTATTTTGTAGGGAGCTATCTCAGACAATATAAATATCCTATTGCTTATAAAATATTGCCTTGGGGCTGGCACTGTGGCGTAGTGGGTAAAGCTGCTGCCTGCAGTGCCGACATCCCATATGGGTGCCCATTCGAATTCTGGCTGCTCCACTTCCAATCCAGCTCTTTACTATGGCCTGGGAAAGCAGTGGAAGATGGCCCAAGTCCTTGGGCCCCTGCACCCATGTGGGAGACCTGGAAGAAGCTCCTGGCTCCTGGCTTCAGATAGGCACAGCTCCAGCAGTTGCAGCCATTTGGGGAGTGCACCAGCAGATGGAAGACCTCTCTTTCTCTGTCTCTCCTTCTCTCTCTGTGTAACTCTGACTTTCAAATAAATAAATTAATTTTTTAAAATTGCCTTACTAGTTTTAACATCCTTTTAAGATTCTTTTCAGAGCTGGTGCTCTGACGCAATGGGTTAAGCCTCTGCAGTGTTGGCATCCCATATGGGCACTTGTTCAAGTCCCGGCTGCTCCACTTCCAATCCAGCTCCCTGCTAATGTGCCTGGGAAAGCAGCAGCAGAAAGCCCAAGTGCTTGGGCCCCTGCACTCAGGTGGGAGACCCAGATGAAGCTCCTGGCGCTTAGTTTCAGATCCGCCCAGCTCCAGCTGTTAGGGCCATTTGGGGAGTGAACCAGCAAATGGAAGATCTCACTTTCTCTGTCTTTCCCTCTCTCTTTATCCCTCTGCCTTTCAAATAAAAATATATCTTTGCTTTATTTTTTTAAGGCAGAGGGACAGAGAGAGAGATGGCACGCAACAACCAGGGCTGGGCTAGGCCGAAGCCAGGAACAAGGATCTCCATCCGTGTCTCCCACATGGGTGGCAGGGACCCAAGTCCTTAGCCGTCATCTGCTGCCTCCCAGGGTGCATATTAACAGAAAGCTGGATTGGGAGCAGAGTTGGGAATTGATCCCAGGAAATGTCAAATGGGATGTGGGTATTCCAAGTGGCAGTTTAACCTATTTTGTCACAGCCTCCCCCAGCTAAGATTCTCAGAACATTATTGCAATGTTTGCTGTTAGGGGGATTTTATTTTATTATTCCTTCGATATTTACCCCCCCCCCTTTTTTTACTGTAGTAAAATTTACCATTTTCATGGTTTTTAGGTCTATAATTCAGTGATAATACATTCAGTGAGTGCAGCAACATTTCACATTGATTTGTTGGTATACGATTTTAAGATAAAGCTTTCTCTTCTCCCCAGTCTGTCATTTACTTTGATGCTTAAATTATCCCAGATTTGGCTACTGGGACCTCTTTCAGCCCGCTTCTGTGCTCTTTTCACATGACATCATCACTCTCTGAGCGGTTTTTTTTCCCCCCTACCCTAATATCACAAAATATCCCAGGCTTGGGGCCAGCACTGTGGCATGGCGGGTGAAGCCGCGGCCTGCAGTGCTGGCATCCCATATGGGCGCTGGTTCAAGTCCCGGCTGCTCTGCTTCCAATCCAGCTCCCTGCTGTGACTTGAGAAGGCAGTGGAGGATGGCCAAGTCGTTGGGCTCCTGCACCTGCACGGGAGACCAGGAGGAAGCTCCTGGCTCCTGGCTTTGGATTGGTGCAGCTCCAGCTCTTGCAGCCATTTGGGGAGTGAACCAGTGGATGGAAGACCTCTCTTCTCTCTCTCTGCCTTTCCTCTCTCTCTGTAACTCTCTGTCAAAAATAAATACATAGATCTTGAAAAAAAACCAATCGCAGTCTCACTTGCACTTCCCTGGCTGGTTCTGGAGTCACTCTGTAAGCTCTGATTCCTTTTAGTGGAGAAGGATACTTAGAAATTCACATCTGGGTACTGGCTGTGCCATTTTACTGAGGCATCGTCGCTGTAGAGCCTCTGAACGCACACAGGGAATCGTTCATGTTCACACCTCCAGTTGCAATCCGGCTGCCTGGTGTTTATGCTAGCCTTCCCCTTTCCGTAACTTAACTCCTTTCTCCGTGCTGAGAAGCCAGGCGTTCATACTCCCTTTCTCTCTGGCTTTGTCTCTCACGCATGCATGCACACACATACACGTGCTTTTTTTTGCTGAACCCTTTAAAGGTGGGTTGTAGACATAAAGCCATTTCATCCCTGGCCATTTCATATGCATCTCCCAAGACCAAGAGCGCTTCCTTTATAATTGTGTCATACTTGAGGTACTGCTGTTCATATTCTCATTCCCCCAGTTAACCTAACAATGACCTTTGTAGCTCTGCTTATCTTATGCTGCAGGATCCGGATGTATTGCATTTAGTGGTCATGCTGCTTTTATCTTTAAAATGTTGGTGTTTTTGTCTTTTGGGCCTTTATGACATTTATATTTCAAAGAGGTCAGGCTGCTACTTTGCAAATTCAGATTTGTCTGATCGTTTTCTCATTATTAGGTTCAGATTAAATGTTTTTTCCTGCCAAGAATAGAAGTTAGGTGCCGGGTGTTCCTTTCAGTGTGACATCAGGAGCTACATGATACTTACTGTTTTGTCCTGTTCTTGGTAATGCAACATTATCTTTTTCCCCTCCTCCCACTTTTTTGCTTTAGTCACTTTGGACTCGTGGGCAGCCCTTTCTTTAGCATTATTTATAAACTGTTGTTTAGCTAACTAATCAAGTTTTCATATTTCGGTCATTATTTCTTTTTCTTTTTTTTTTTATTTATTTGACAGGTAGAGTTATAAACAGTGAGAGAGAGAGAGAGACAGAGAGAAAGGTCTTCCTTCTGTTGGTTCACTCCCCAAATGGCCGCTATGGCTGGCGCTGGCTGATCCAAAGCCAGGAGCCAGGTGCCTCTTCCTGGTCTCCCACGTGGGTGCAGGGACCCAAGCACTTGTGCCATCCTCCACTGCCTTCCTCCGCCTGCGGAGCTGGCATCCCATATGGGCGCTGGGTTCTAGTCCTGGCTGCTCCCCTTCCAGTCCAGCTCTCTGCTGTGGCCTGGAAGGGCAGGGGAGCATGGCCCAAGTGCTTGGGTCCCTGCACCCGCATGGGAGACCAGGAGGAAGCACCTGGCTCCTGGCCTCAGATCAGCGTAGCTCCTGCCATAGCAGCCATTTGGGGAGTGAACCAATGGAAGGAAGACCTTTCTCTGTCTCTCTCACTGTAACTCTACCTGTCAAATAAATAAATAAACATTTAAAAAAAGTCTTCATCCAGAAGTTCAATAATCTAAAATTCTTGGGAATTAAATAACTGACATTTTTGTCACATTGGCTTTTATGCTTTGGAGACTTGTTTCTAATTTGTGTCATTTTTGGTTTTGGTAAGCTGAGCTATAGAAGTGCTTTGTCCATCTGGGAACAGGCTGGAAAAGACAACTTTTCTCTTTACAGTTGTTTTGTGTTTGCCTCTGTGAGGTACCCACAAAATATAATTGACTTTAAGCTGATGTAACTAATTTCTAGACTTGCAGATTCCTGGACCTTACAGGTGCTATAAATGAGTACGATACCCCATGTGAGAGTGAGTCTGTAATTTTAAAATCTTAAAGACATTTCATTCAGTCTCCCTACAAGCTAGTACGGACAAGCTACCTTTACCTCCTGGTGCCCTTGTCCATTTTTCTTTTTTCTTACCCACTGAGAGAATGTCCTTTGAAATTCCCGGCCCTAGGCTGGGCGCCAGGAATCGGGATAGAAGAAAGGTCTCAATCCAAATTTCTGCCTTCCCTGCGTCCAAATCCCTATCTCCAGTTCTCACTCCAGCACTGAAATCTAAGCTGCTGGTGTCTCAGAACCTTCCAAATTCTCTCCCAGCAGCTGAGGCATCGCCTCACAGACTCCCTAGATTTGACTTCCCTCTTCATTTTTAGCCACTGACTGTTCATACCCTTTTTTGAAAGCTCTATTCATTTAAATGATGTTTTACTTAGTAAGTTTATTTATTTTTGTTCATTTATTTGAAAGGCAGAACTTCAGAGGCAGTGAGAATTAGAGAGACAGAGAGATTCCATCTTCCATCCCCAAATACCCACAATGGCCAGGCAGAAGCCACGAGTGAGGAACTTCGTCCAGGTCTCCCATGTGGGTAGCAGGGAGCTGCATCAGAAGCCGAGAAGTAGGGACCATGGCACCTAGATATGGGATGCTTCTGTCATAAGCAGCAGCTTAAGCCACTGTGCCACAACTCCGTCCCCAGTAAATGCTTTTTGATAATTGTAGTGGGAGATATTTTAGGTTATGTAGTTTGCTCTGTGGCTAGATTTCTAAATTTCTGAGGTCTTTGAGGTTGTCCAGCTATAGGTCTTGCAGTGTTTTATTGTCAGTAGTAGTAGTGCCTGTTATGGAGAATTTCTATTTTATTACTGCTTGCTATACATATATTTTTACTTATTAGAGACAGAGAGAAACAGAGGTCCTATACTCTCCCAAATGCCCACAGCAAAGCTGGGAGCCAAAAACTCAATCCAGGTCTTCTGCTTGAGTGGCAGGAACCCAGCTGGTTGAGCCATCACCTGCTGCCTTCTGGGGTGCACCTTAGCAGGAAGCTGGAATTGGGAACAGAACTTTGACTTGAGGCCAGGCGCTCTGATATGGAATCTTAATCTGGCGTCTTCACCAGCAGGTCAAATGCCTGCCCGCCTGTCTGTCTGTCTGTCCGTCTATCTAGTTCTTTACTTATTTTGGCTAATGTAGCACAGGTGTTAAAACATCCCGTTTCTATTCATTTATCTAAAACCAATCTGCATTGGAATGTTTCTCAAGTTCAAATTTTTCATAGAAAGCTTGATGATCTTTCTTCAAGCTAGTAACCAAAATGATTAATCAAAATAGGCTAATTTTTTGCTCTACCGTGAGCATGTTTCACATATTCCTGTTCTGGTCCCTATTTATTAAATCATTTGTGTTGGCTTATAAGTTTTTTCTTGATATTAATTCATTCTTAGAACTCAATTTTGTCAGAAGTGCTGCTTGGAAATTTAACTTCACACTTAAGCCTGGTATTTCTTTACTGCATGTAACAATTTGTTTTTGTGCCAACGTGAAAAACATACTGCATTCACCAGAACAACTAGCACAGACTTTAAAGATTTTGGTGAACGGAGATGTTGCCACATACCCATTTTATGGTTTTTCATCCTTTGTGCCTGTGAACATCAAAAGAGAGCAAATTTTAGTATTTGATAGTCACTCCTTTTAGAAATTCTGCTACGATTTAAAAAAAAAAGAAAATAACTGATTTCTATTAGTGATTTTTGCGTGTGAGCATAAAAGACCAATTATTTATTTTATTTAAGTTATACAGGTTTCATGTATTTCATATTTACAGATTTAGGAACATAGTGATACTTCCCACCCACGCTCCAACCCTTCTTCCTCCTTTTCCCATTCCTACTGTTAATTTTTACAGAGTTTTACTTTCGGTTTACTTAATGATCGTAAGGTTAACCTTACACTAAGTGAAAAGGTTCAACAAATAGTATGAACTAAAAAACAAAACAAAAAATAACACTGTTCCTTAACGAAAGAGACAGGAGCTGTAAATAGTCAACGAATCTCAAAATGTCTGTTTCACTCCAGTACATTCAGTACATTACATTTTAGGTACTCTATAGTTACCCTGATCAGGGAAAACACACGATATCTGTCTTTTGGGGTCTGGCTTATTTCACTGAGTGTAGTAGTTTCAAGTTGCATCCATTTTGTTGCAAAAGACAGGATTTCATTTCTTTTTTATAGATGAGTAGTACTCCATAGTGTGTATATACCATAATTTCTTTATCCACTCTTCAGTTGATGGACATCTGGGTTGATTCCATGTCTCAGCTATTGTGAATTGTGCTGCAATAAACATGGGGATACAGATAACTCTTTCATTTGCTGATTTCTTTTGGTTTGGATAAATTCCCAGGAGTGGGATGGCTGGATTATATGATAGGTCCAATTTTTATTTTTTAAATTGCTTAAGCCTGAAAAAAAAGTCCTTCATAAACATCTTATAATTGTCATTGAACATTTGCTTATTAATTAAAATACTAGGGGAAAAAATACTCTATGCCCCCAAGGAGTGCAAATTCTATGTAAGAAAGCAAACTGTAATCCTGAAGTGTGGTTAGTTCTCTGTAGAGGCCTCTGTGGGAATAGATTTCTAAATGTAACTTTTAGACGTTTCCTAACTGTGAATTTATAGATTTAGTAATATAATCAGAAGATAGTCTTCATGTAACACGAGGATTACTATAAACTGAAACAAAGCACAGTGTGGTGAGAGGATAGGTAAATTTACCTGTCGCCCAGAGGTGGTCTGTTAGTAGGGGACTGTGGTTATCCCTCTCAGGATGAGTTTCTGAAAACTCAAGCAAGGAACTTGCTCCACCCATTTATTTCCTGAGGAAATTTGTGTTTTGTTTGTTTCTAACTAAATCATTTTAACAAGCTTAATTTTACTACAAAAATACATTTTTACCTTTTAGAGTCCTATGGCTCTGAAGTTTAAAATACTCAGAAAATGTTTTAAAACATTTATTTATATATTTGTTGGTTTGAAAGGCAGAGTTGCAGAGAGATCTTCCATCCACTGGTTCATTCCCCAAATGGCTGCAACAGCTGGAGCTGGTCCAGTCTGAAGCCAAGAACTTCTTCTGGGTCTCCCACATGGGTGCAGGGGCCCAAGGACTTGGGCCACCTTCTACAGCTCTCCCAGGCCATAGCAGAGAGCTGGACTGGAAGTGGAGCAGCCAGGACTCAAACCAGCGCCCATATGGGATTCTGGAACTGTAGGTGGTGGTTTTGCCTGCTATGCCACAGTGCCGGCCCAGAAAATGTTCTTTTTTATTTTTTTTAAGATTTATTTTATTTATTTGAAAGAGTTACAGAGAAAGAGGTCTTCCATCTGCTGGTTCACTCCCCAAAATGGTCTCAATGGCCAGAGCTGAGCCAATCTGAAGCCAGGGGCCCAAGGACTTGGGCCATCCTCCACTACTTTTCCAGTGCATTAGCAGGGAGCTAGATCAGAAGTGGAGCAGCTGGGACTCTAACCGGCGCCCATATGGGATGCCAGCATTGCAGGCCAGGGCTTTAACCCACTTGCCACAGCACCGGCCCATTTTTTAAATTTTTAGCACAAGTAGTCCAAGTTCCCTAAAGCGAGGAAAATGTTGAGGAGGTAGATGAAGAAAAGCTCTTTGAAGGTTGTCTTCCGATTTCTGGACTTCTGTTGCCTGTGTATGTAGATGCCCAGTATTCCTGTGTGAACTCTAGATGTAAAGTTACTACCACAAACTGAAACTGTTTAATGATTGTAGGGAGCCCAGATTCCACCTCTCCTTCCTCCAGTCCTACGTTCTGGAACTACAGTCGTTCTGTGGGGGATTATGCACAGACTTTAAAGAAGTTTCAGTACCAGCTTGCCTGTAGGTCTCAGGCCCCTAGTGCTAACAAAGATGAAGCTGATCTCAGTTCTAAACAAGCTGCAGAAGAGGTAAGTGGAAAATAAAAACTGCTTAATATCTATGACTTACAGATTTCAAAAAAGAATTCCCTTCTCCTTCTGGAGCTTTTTTCTTCCTTTCTTTCTCTTCTTTCTGTAATCTCCAGTTTCAGTGGATACTAATACAAATCTGGCATGCATTAAACAGTGGAAATTCTCTTGTCTTCTCTGTGTACCTAAAACTGAATTATATTATACATTTTACTCTTTATGACATATAGTTGAAATTAGTGCTCTGCCTAAAACATTTTTCTGCATTCATTATAAAAATGTTTTCAATATACAGAACTCTTGCTTTTAAAATACAAATGTCAGGCTGTAGTTTGATCAGTGTAATGCCAAATATGGGATTTTGATTTTATTTTAAAAACAAGAAATTCTTCAAGCATACCAGTGTAAGAACTTTAAAGATATATCTCTGCTTGAACAGCAACCATAAATGGGTAATAACAAAATGAGATGAATATTAATGTTTGAATTTTTTTCATATATTTTATGGGTGGGAAAAATGATCTCTGATGAAATTTTTTCTTTCTGACTTCATTTTAAACATATTTTTAATAGGTTTGGGCAAGAGTGACAATGAATAGACAACTTCTTGATCATATGGATTCTTGGACAGCCAAGTTTAGAAATGTAAGTTCTAATATCATTCAGTGGACAATGTTAGTTCCTGTTAATATGCAGAGTATGTTATTAGAGTATCAGAGTTGTTATTAATGAGAATATTAGAATTAGCTGTTATTAAAAGTATAATGTGAATGGTACATATCTAATGATAAATGTGACATTTACCTTGAGATTTTTGTTTCCATTGGATTTTGTTCCCCCTCATTTTGTAAACCAATGTATTTTGAAGATAGGAACTTCTCTATCAGAGTCTAGAATTGTGAGGGAAACAACAATGGAGTTCTTGCACTCTAAAAAGAGAGAGAAGGTAGACTATGCTTGATGCTACTTAAGAGGAAATACAGTTTCTTCAGCTTTGCTAGGGGAGAACCCTCTAGTCTTTGACCTGGAGGTCAGTTCCTCCAGACTCAGATTCAGATCCCTTGTGTTCAACCCCCTTCTTCTCCCACTCCCTGTGCACCTGTGTCGCGGCTTCTGTCGGGCAGGTTGGGTCCCTCTTCCCTACAGGTGGCTCCACGTTGGTGCTGTAGAAGCTACTCTTGCTGTTTCATCCTTCAACACTCCTCCTTCACTGTGCACCTTCTAGAACCATATTGAAATCACTTGGACTCATTTTTTATCCTTTCACTATAATTTAAATAGAGTATCAAGAGGAAGGGATAGAAAATGGTAGCCTACTTACTTGAACCAGAAACTTGGACAGCATTCTAAAAATAAAATTCCCGAACTGCTGGATTTACAATTTCTGGGGGTGAGGCCTAGATCTCTTTTCTGAACACTTAGATAATTTTGTTGCAGCCAGAGACTGGCAAGTAGGTTGCATATAATACATGGTGGAAGAATGAGTGAGTGAAATGATGTCCTGGAATTTGACTCTGTTATATTTCCTGTTACAAGCTAGACAAAAATGTGAAATACTACAGTTCCTCATTTGAACTCCTTAGGCCACAGTGTCCTGAAGCTAAGAGTCTCATAGACTGTTTTAGAAGCAATATGTGTGTACTGTGTGTTTGGTAAAACCACTGGCAGTCTGGCCAGCATCCAGTAATGAGCCACATGAATATTTCTGCAGCAAAGCGTGTGAATAGCCAACCTGGGTGAGAAAGGCTGTGTCAGTAGTGTCATGTGAATTCATTTCAGCTCTTGCAAATCTATCAAATTTTTGCTTGCAGCATGGATTATAAAAACACTTTTCGGTTTTCAGAGGCTTTTGAGTTCAAATTATTTATAAGGAATTGTGGACTTACTTCATTTGAAACAGTTTTTAATCTTTTATTTTATGGTAAAATAAACGCATGGAAACAAGTGATGGTTGAGGTTGCTCATAAAACAACACACAGACAGATGGGGAGCTTCTTGGATGGTTTTTTCCCATGGTTTTTAACCATGAAAAATGGTGCTTGAGAGCAGGCATTTGACCTAGTGGTTAAGCCACCCATCGGGACGCCCACAGCCCACACTGAAGGATCTGGGCTTGAGCCCCAGCTCTGTTCCCATTTCTGAGTCTGGCTGGTGTGCACAGTGGTGGGCAGCAGTGAGAGCTCGAGTAGTTGTGTCCCTGGCCTGGGTCAGATTCTCAGCTCCCTTACTCTGACCCAGCCCTGACCGTTATGGGCTTTTGGGTGGGTAGACCGGTGGTTTTTTCTGTCTCAAATAAATAAATAAGTTTTAAGAAAAAAGAATATAATTTAATTATACTCAAGCATATTTACTTAGCTCTTTCTAGACTTCAGATAGGTGTGACTTCTGTTCTTTCACTATACTGTATGATTCTGCTAATATTCAAGAATAAGACCATAAAAAAGCTCTTAGAGTTGCTTGTAAAAAAATGAAAATAGTGATTTGATCAGTATTTTGGAATTATGTGTGCAAAATCTATACCTCGTTTCTTTCTAGTGGATCAATGAAACCATATTAGTGCCACTTGTACAAGAGATTGAGTCTGTCAGCACTCAGATGAGAAGAATGGGTTGTCCAGAGCTACAAATAGGAGGTATGTGAAAATAGAGTCCAGTGTTTTTGATTTACTATCATTTACTATCCATAATAAATCTACCACAGAGAAACTGAGCTCTCGTTGTCTTGAGGTGAAGGGAAAACCTAAATGCTTACAATCTTTTTTTACCGTAACATCTGTATTGAGATAGAATTCATGTACCGAACAGTCCTCCCATTCTAAGTGTTCAGTCCAATGGTTGGGTTGTACAGATGTCACCACAATCGATTTTAAAACAATCTGTCACCCAAAAAAAGAAACCCCAGACCCTTAACAGTCACTTCCATCCAACGCCCACGGCAGCCCTGTACAAACACCAGTCTATTTTCTGCCTCTTTAGATGGGCCTATTCTAAATATTTCTTATAAATAGAATAATCTGATATGTGTTCCTTTGTGACTGACTTCTTTTACTTAACATAATGTTTTCAAATTCCATCCATGTTGTAGCGTTTATCAGTGCTTCATTTATTGTTATTGCTGAATAATATTCAAAATTAATCTGCCATATGTTGTTTATCCGGTTCATCAGTTGATTCGCATTTGGTCCCTACTGTCTGTGATGCTGCCGTGAACAGTCATGAACAAGTGTTTGTGGACATTTGCTTTAATTTCTCCAGGGGAGGGCAGAATTGCTACATGACACGGTAACCCTGTGTTTAGCCTTTTGAGGAGCTGCCAGATGGTTTCCTAAGGCAGTCGTGCCATTTTACATTCTAGTAAACAAAGGTTCTAGCTTCTGCACATCCTCACCAACACCCGTTACCGCGCGCCTTCGAGTATTCCTAGTAGTGGGTATGAAATGGCGGCTCACTGGTGTTGTTTAAACTTACGTTTTCTTGATGGTGAACATCTTTTCATATGTTTATTGGCCACTTGTATATCTTAGGATAAATGTTTTCAGATCCTTTATGATTTCTAAATTGGATTGTCTTTATTGTTGAGTTGTAGGTGTTTTTTATATATTCTATAAACAAGACTCTTATCAGATATTAATTACAAGCTTGTATGAAGCATAAAGATTTTGTAACAATAGTGAATTTAATTCACCTATTTTTTAAAAAACTTATTTATTTGAAAGGCAGAGTTACAGAGAGAAAGGGAGAGGCAGAGAAAGATCTTCCATCTGCTGGTTCACTCCCCCCAGTGGCCGCAACGGCCAGGGCTGGGCCAGGTCAAAACCATCATCCAGGTCTCCCATGTGGGTAAGGGGCCCAAATGTTTGGCCATCTTCTGCTACTTTCCCAGGCACATTAACAGGGAGCTGGATCGGAAGTGGAGCAGCCAGGAATCAAACTGGTGCCCATATGGGATGCCAGCATTGCAGTTGGCAGCTTAACCCATTGTACCGCAACGCTGGCCCCAAATTGACCTATTTTCAGCTCTCTTATCTGCTAAAAATTAAAACTCCTGAGGGACCCTATAAACTGCCTAAAATAGATATGCCAGAACTTATTTAGTGTCAAGTAATTAGATTTCAAAATAAAAAAGGAATATTTTAGTCAACTGGCTCCTCCTAGATGGTAAGTCTCTCCTTCAGATACATTAAGTGCTTTAGATTGCACATCAGCACTTTACATTTATCTTGGGTATATTTTTTCCTGTTCCTTTAAGTTTTGTTTGTTTATTTGAAAGAGTTGCAGAGAGCAGGAGACAGATTCTCCATCTGCTGGTTCACTCCCCAAATGGCTACAACAGACGAGGCTCTGCCAGGCCAAAGCCAGGAGCCGGGAACTCCATCTGGATATCCCCTGGGGATGGTGGGGACCCAAGCACTTGGGTCATATTCCACTGCTTTCCCAAGTGCATTAGCAAGGAACAGGATGAGAAGTGGAACAGCCAGGATTCAAACTGGCACTCGTATGGAATGCTGGCATTGCAGGCAGTGGCTGAACCTGCTGTGCCACAACGCCAGCCTCTACCTTGGGTATCTTTTAATTAACCTTTATTCTATGGATGAAGAATAGAATGTGGGGATGGATGTTTGATGTAGAGGTTAAGTCACTGGGTAAGATGTCCATGTCTCACATTGGAGTGCCTGGGTTCAATTCCCAGCTCTGGCTCCTGACTCCCAACCTCCTGCTAACGTGAACCCTGGGAAGCAGTGATGATAGCCCTGGTGGTTGGGTTTTTGCCACCCACATGGGAGACCTACGTTGAGTTCCCAGCTTCCGTCTTCAGCCTGGCCTGTCTCAGCCATCATGGAAATTTAGGGAGTGAGCCAGTGGATGGAAGCTCATGCATGATTGCATCTCTCTCTCTCTCTCTCCTGGATGGATGGGTGGGTGGGTGGGTGGATGGGCAGCAGACAGAATAAATACGTGCATCCCTAGAGTACCTATTTATTGAGTATTCAGATGTCTCATATGTAATTAGGGTAAACACATTAACTTTGGAAGCTAGCTGTTAAAGCCCCATTTTATGGATAAAGGTACTGAGACTTAGCGAGGTTAAGTAGTCTGCCCAGTGCAGTGAGTTGATGGCAGAGCTGTGGCTCCGAGGCCACATTGGGCACTTTCTAAGTCTTTGTGATGTTACTTGAACCTGGGCTTAACTTTTTTTTTTCCAGTTCATTTTTCTGGTTCTTTAGATGTGAATATATGCAAGTGTAAATCTAGTCACTCTGTGGTACTGGCGTTGTGCCACGGTGCAGGCCGGCCCAAGTCCCGGCTGCTCTCCTTCCAGCCCATCTCCCTGCTGATGTGCCTATGAAGGCATCAGAAGATGGCCCAACTGCTTGGGCCTCGCCACCCACGTGGATAACCCGGATGGAGTTCCTGGTTCCTGGCTTTGACCCGGCAGAGCCCTGTCCATTGTGGCCATTTGGAGAGTGAGCCAGCGGATGGAAGACCTCTCTGTGTCCCTCCCTTGCTGTCACTTTGCCTTTCAAATAAATCTTAAAAAAAAAATCTGGCTACTGTACCTGAAATGATAAATTGTAGGTAAAACAGATAATGTAAATTAACATAAATTATTATTGTTTTCATTTATTCCTTTAATATCTAGTGAGTACTCTGTGCCAAGTAATGTTCTAGGTATTTTGAAAACAGCAGTGAACAAAACGACCGAAGTGCCTGCCCTGGTTTTTTTCCTAGTAGATGAGACAGTCAAGAAACAAGACAAAGTACCTTGAGAGGGTTAGTGCTAAGGAGAGAGGAAGCCGCGGGAGGGTGGTGTTTTCAGTGTTCGGGGAGCAGGGTTGACATTTGCGGTAGAGTGGCCAGGGAAGGCCGCCTTGACCTGTGAGAAGACCGAAGGCCCAAGAGAACAGCTGTTGGACCAGTGAGGAAGAGCATTGCATGATTTCTTAGAAACCCTCCCGAGGACTGACACGTGTTCTCTGTGTGTCTGTTTTTAACAGAGGCTAGTATTACCAGCTTGAAGCAAGCTGCCCTGGTCAAAGCCCCTCTCATGCCTACTTTGAACACGATTGTGCAGTATCTAGACCTTACACCAAACCAGGAGTACTTATTTGAAAGGATCAAAGGTAACTATTGATTTGAAGAGGAAAATCTGGGAGCCTTTTCATTGTACTGGGATTTATAAATACAGGACAACAAAGAACAAACCTTGTTTTAAAATTAAACTGTGATCTTATATTTTATAAATACATATTTAATTATGGCTTCACTAAAGCTTATACTTGAACAACTTTTAGATTTTACGTGCTAAGAAATGTTAAGATAACAGTTATCCTTGAATAGGTTAATAATAATATTCTGTATAGGAATCCTAAATTTGAGCTAAACAGGCTCGTGTGAGTACTTCACTCTTTTTCTCCTCTTAGAACACCAAAGATGGTACCGCTTTGACATTCTTTATAATTCAGCATGCTTTCATAATCCTTATTCCTTCTAACTTTTAAAATTCTTGTTGCGTATGTGCCTTCCTTCTGCTTGTTGGGTTCTTAATATTCGGGAGGAAATGTGATCTTCATTTGCAAGTGCTATGGTGCTGCCTCCTCCTGACCCTAGGCTTGGATTGGGGTTCAGGAATAAGCATTTTTCATGACTTTGTAAAACCTTTCAAACACACATAACCAGGCAAGATACTGCACGTCACCCAGCCCTGACGTCCCTCACTCCCTGGGCAGCGCCTGCCCTGTCTGTACCCCCACCTGCTTAATCCCTTCTGATTTATTTAAAGCATATCCTGTATACGGATCAGTATCAGTTCATCCATAAATATTTCCCTGTGTATCTCTAAGACATAAGGCATTTCATGAAACTGATAGAACTGTATCTAGTCATATCTAGTAATTTTAGCATTTTCTTTATATTGTGAAAATTCCCAGTGTTCAAATGTCAACTTGTCTCATAAAATTTATAAATATTTTTGTTTGTTTGAATTAGGATTCAAATATCATTTGTTGTGATTGCTTGCAATATTTAAGTTTCTTTTAAACTACAGATTTCCTCACATCATTTTTTTCTTTGCGGTTTATTTGTTGAACAACTTGTTTGTCCTGTAGAGTCCCCAGAGTCTGGATTTCACTCTGCACTTCCCCATGGTGTCGTTTCACTCAACTTGGTATTTTCTCTAAAGTCAAGTTCAGTTTTTTTGGCAAGATTTCCTCGTAGATAGCAGGATATTTGTACAACCAGAAAAAGTATGTATGTCAGATGTATAGACTATGTATCAAATATTCCAAAATGTGTAAAAGAATACAGTGAACACTATACTATTAAAGATTGAAGAATTAGCATTATGTTGCCAAATTTGAGTTTCTCGCTACCTGTATTCACAAACACACATTTTGGTTTTGCTGGACCGTTTGAAGGTTCTGCCACATGGCAGGCACATGCTTCTCACATGCATTTGCAGAAAATGAGCGCATTCTCCCGCAGAAGCACTAGCAGACTGTCCGCACCTTAAACCCTGACGGCAGGTCGGTGATGCCATCCAGTATACGGTCCATATTCAAGTTTTCCTCTTGTCTGATCACTCTGAAGAATCCGTAGTTGTGGTCTTGTCCCACGTTTTGGATTTGTCTGGTTCTTCATTGTGATGTCTAACGTGCGCTTCGGCATCACACGGTTCTTTGTGTTGGGTGCTTGGGTCTGGTGTTGCGATGACGTGCTGCCCCTGCTCTCCCTGCCCCTGGCGTAATCGCAGCTGTTTCTGTTCCACCTTTGCTGTCAAGAACTTTCTCAGGGAGGCTGTATGAGCTCGTTTCGATGGAACAGAGGTGGAGACTTCAAAGGACGCAAGTGGGACACAGACCTGCCCACTGACTCTGCTGTGAGTCTGTGTTCGGTTTTTTTCAAGCTTTGTTACTGATTTATATTTTCTTATTTTTCTGTTATAAAAATAACTACCAAAAGAATTTAGAAATTAAGACAGATAGTTTATAATACCAGCACTTAACCCAAACACTGTTAATATTTTTGTGTACTTTCTTTTGTCTCCTTTATTTAGGTGGTGTCATTTTCAGTGTTTTTTTTTTTAATCATAGTTGTAATTATCTTCCATGTAAAATTATGTATCCAACTTTTTCTTCAACTTTTCAATATTTAAGTGGTTTTTTATTGTTATCATACACTGTCATTTAACCATTTTCCTATATTGGGCCTAAAAAGTTTATTTATAAAATCATACTCTTTATTTTTTGTAGTAACTATTGTGTGAAAATAAAGTTTTAAATATTGATATTCAAATTGAGAATTAAATGCTTATGTATTCTTGGTTTTGCTGTTAATTCTATGAGTATGAATGACCCACTTAACAGATGAACAGTTTTTCTAGGGTTGCTATGAGAAACAAAAAATGAAGGATAAATATTTATAGAATAGAAGCCTGGCATTTAAACTAACCTGCCACACACGCACACACACACACACACACAGGTAGTGGCAACTCTGTAAGCTGGAATATTTAAACTTTTTCAATTTGAAAAGAAAACCTCATCAAAATACAGACTGATTTGATAGTGAATGTATTCTATTATACTTTTCAGTGGATTCTCTGAATTAAGCCTGGCTTCACCTCTTAAACATACTGAATTCCTTTATGATAAAAGAGATTCTACTATTGAATTCCATTTGTTAATATAACATTTTTGATTAAAATCGGTATGTTGTCTGAATTATGTTTTATCTTTTTTATTTTGTAGAAATTTATCTTTTTTTTATGTGTTGATTGTGTTAACAGGCAGAGTGGACAGTGAGAGAGAGAGACAGAGAGAAAGGTCTTCCTTTTGCCGTTGGTTCACCCTCCAATGGCCGCCGCAGCCAGCACGCTGCGGCCGGCGCACCGCGCTGATCCAAAGCCAGGAGCCAGGTGCTTCTCCTGGTCTCCCAGGGGTGCAGGGCCCAAGGACTTGGGCCATCCTCCACTGCACTCCCTGGCCACAGCAGAGAGCTGGCCTGGAAGAGGGGCAACCGGGACAGACTCCGGCGCCCCAACCGGGACTAGAACCCGGTGTGCCGGCGCCGCTAGGCGGAGGATTAGCCTAGTGAGCCGCGGCGCCGGCCTGTAGATTTCATTTTATAAATAGACCACTTGAAAGCATATTTGCTAATTCTCTTTTTTAGGGAAAGTTTTTTCATTAGAATAATTTCAGTACAGACTTCTGTGAAAAGACTGAGCTGGGTTTTCGTGCTGACTGTGAGCGGCTGTTTCTTGTCTTCAGATCATCATGCATGTCTTCTGCACCTACCTCGACTCCAGGTTGCCTCCGCATCCTAAGTACCCTGACGGGAAAACGTTCACCTCTCAGCACTTGGTTCAGACCCCAAACAAGCCAGGTATGAGGGCTCTCCTACAGGAATGGGGTGAGGTTTTCACATGAAACAGCTCTAGTGGCCCAGTTTTTAATGTGACATGTTTCCTTTACAGATGTTACAAATGAGAATGTCTTTTGCATTTATCAGAGTACTATCAACCCTCCCCATTACGAGCTCATCTACCAGCGCCATGTCTACAATCTTCCAAAGGTATTTCTGTGTATACAGGTTGCTCTTGGGGAACGTCACAGATGTCTTTCCTTCGTAAAGATTTTAGAGCCTGCATTTAGCCGAGACGCCCGCATCTCACATCAGAATGCCTGGGTTTGATGTCCAGCCGCAGCTCCTGGCTCCAGTTCCCTGCCAGAGCAGACCATGGAGGCAGTGGGGATGGCTCAGATAATGGTTCCTGGCAGCCTTGTGGGGGGCCTGGATTGTGTTTCTGACTCCCAGCTCCAACGCAAGGCCAGCCCCAACCCTGACTCTTACAGGAATTTAGGTAGTAAACCAGAGGATGGGCGCTCGCTTGCTCTCTTTCAGCTCTCTTTGTATGTCTCTCTGCTTCACAGGTTAGAAGAAAAAAAAATCAGAATCTCTCTTGTGTGTAGAGTAGGTAGTAAACTTTTTTTAAAGTTAGGGGAAATTAGGACGAGTGTTGATACGGCAGGTAAAGCCACCACTTTGTACACCTGCATCCCGTACTGGAGTGCCAGGGATTGAGTCCCACATCTGCTTCCAATCCAGCTTCCTGCTTCTGTCCCTGGGAGGCAGCAGTATCCACATATCTGCTGTTCTGCCACACATGGGAGACCCTGGCTCCTGTCTTTGGTCTGGCCCAGCCCTGGCTATTGTAGGCATTTGGGGAGTGAACAGATGGAAGCTATCTTTCTAACTCCCTCTCTCATTCTGTTAGATCTGCCTTTCAAATAAATGAATCATTTTTAAGAGTGGGGGGGAGGGGGTGGTGGCGTGTTGACACAGTGGATAAATCCACTGCCTGCAGCCCTGGCATCCCAAAAGGGCTCCGGTTCAAGTCCTGACTGCTGCAGCTTCTTGCTAATGTGCCTGGAAAAGCAGCAGAGGATGGCCCACGTGTTGGGGACCCAGGGGATGCTCCTGGCTTTAACCTGCTCCAGCCCTGGCTGTTGTGGCCATTTAGGGAGTCAGCCAGCAAAGCTTGCTCTCTCTCAATCCCTCTGTAATTCTGCCTATCGAATAAAAAAAATCTTTTTTTTAAAGTTGGGAGAAATGTTTCCTATATTTTTTTTATTATTTTATTTATTTATTTGAAAGGTAGAGTTACAGACAAAGAAAGGGAGAGACAGAAAGGTCTTCCATCCACTGGTTGATTCCCTAAATGGCCACAACGGCCAGAGCCCAGCCTATCCAAAGCCAGGATCTGGGAGCTTCTTCCAGGTGTCCCATGTAGTTGCAGGGGCCCAAGCACTTGGGCCATCTTCCATTGTCTTCCCAGGCCATACACAGAGAGATGGATGGGAAGAGGAGCAGCTGGGACACGAACCAGCTGCCCATATGGGAAGCGGCACCATAAGCAGAGGCATAGCCCCCTATATATTATTTTTACTGTGGAGCCAGTGCTGTGGCACAGCAGGTTAAGCCACAGCCTGCAGTGCTGGCTTCCTATATGTGTGCTCATTCGACTCAACAACTGTTCCACTTCCAATCCAGCTCCCTGCTGATGCACCTAGGAAAGCCAGTCCCTGGGCCCCTGCACTAACATGGGAGACCTGGAAGAAGCTCCCACGTGGGAGAAACAAAGACAGAGACAGATTTCGTTGGTTGGTTCACTGCCCCCAATGGCCCAGCCCAGGCTAAAGCCTGGAGCCAGGAACTCCCATCTGGGTCTCCCACATGGATGGCAGAGACTCAGGTACTTGAGCTATCATCCACTGCTCCTCGGGTACTTTAGCAGGGATCTAGATCCAAAATGGAGTAGCTGGGACTTGAACTGGGACTCTGATGTGGTGGCACCATAATGCCCACCCCCTTGTACTTTGTTTAAAGATTTATTTATTTGAAAGGCAGAGTTACAGAGAGGCAGAAGCAAAGAGAGAAGTCTTCCATCCACTGGTTCAATCCCCAAATGGCCACAGTGGCTGGAGCTGGGCCAATTCGAAGCTAAGAGCCAGGAGCTTCTTCTGGGTCTATCAAGAAGATGCAGGGACCCAAGGACCACAGCTGGATCAGAAGTGGACCAGCTGGGACTCTTCCTTTTTTCTTTTTTTTAAAGTAACACTATCAGGGCCGGCGCTATGGTGCAATAGGTTAAAGCCCTGGCCAGTAGTGCTGGCATCCAATATGGGCGCCAGTTCAAGTCCTGGCTACTCCACTTCCAATTCAGCTTCCTAGCAATGCGCCTGGGAAAGCAGTGGACGATGGCCCAAGTCCTTGGGCCTCTGCACCCACATGGGAGACCTGGAAGAGGCTCCTGGCTTCCGATGGGCTTAGCTTTACCCTTTGTGGCCATTTGGGGAGTAAACCAGTGGACGGAAGCCCTCACTCTGTCTGTCTCTACCTTTCTCTGTAACTCTGTCTTCCAAATAAATAAAATAAATAATAATACTATCTTGTAAAAATCACACGAACCCTTAGACTCTTGAGTAAAAACACCATAAATCAAGGGGCAGACATTTGGCCTAGAGGTTAGGATGCCTATGTCCCATATCAAAGTGCCTGGGTTTTGAGTCCTGCCTCCACTCTTATTCTTGATCTTAGCTGAAAGGCCGAGAAGTGATCCACTCCTGATTCTATCATCCTGCTGATGTGTACCCTGGGGGGCAGCAGGTGATAATGGTTTGTGTAATTTTGTCCCTGCCACCCACTTAGAGACCTGGGTTGAGTTCCCAACTGCTACTTTGTCCTGATCCAGCCCTGGCTGTTGGGGGCATATAGGAAGTGAACCAGTGAATCGCAGCTCTCTTTCTTTGCTTCTGGAATAAAGGAAATAGCATTATTCAGAGTAAGCAAGTAGACGTTCATCAGCAAATTGAAAATATGAATTAGCTGCTTTGGCAGAACAACAATTAGTTGGCTTTAAGGATCATGGCAGAGCGAGCTAAAATACCCTGTGTGACAACAGCATCCCAGCTGGAGTGCCATTCAGGTCCCTGCTGCTGCGTGTCTGATCAGGCTCCTTGACAGTGAGCCTGGGAAAGCAGTGGAAGATGGCCCAAGTACCTGGGTCCCTGCCGCCCTATGGGAGACCCAGAGGCTCCTGGTTTAGGACAGGCCCAGCCCCCACTATTACGGTCATTTGGGGAGTGAACCAGCAGATGGAAGATCTCAATCTCAGACTCTCTCTCCCTCTCTCTCTCTCTCAAATAAATATTTTTTTAAAAACCAGATGGCTTTATGTGTTCCCGTGGCGTCCTACACCTCGCAGAAGGTTCGTCACAGGCTATTGCAATCCCTGGTGTACTGCCTGCCTTTCCTACCAGCTCTGAGCTCGCTTATTACGTGGATCCTTTGTCATTCACCAGTGTTCCCACTTCTACACAGGGTTGAGGCCCTTTGGTTAATGAAATTCTGAATTAGGAGGAATTCTGAGTTAGTAGGATGTGATTTGGTAAGATCTGTAATTACCTACTAGCCTGAAGCTTTCTGGTCTGGTTTGAGTATTGTTTTCTTTCTTGTCTTTGTTCCAGGGCAGAAATAATATGTTCCACACGTTGTTAATGTTCCTCTACATCATAAAGACCAGAGAGTCAGGAATGCTTGGGTAGGTGTTTGTGCTGTGTAACAACGGAAGTTCTCGGTTTGTTAACTCTTTCTCTTCCAGTGTTAAGATTCTGCAGAAGGCAGCATCCTATAACTGAAAACACTCATGGAATGATCAGGAGTAAGTACAGAAGAAATAGAGTGTCTCCTTAATAATTTTATACATTTGACTGAGTGGTTACCGTGGGTTAAATATATTGTTAAAATTAGTTTTACCCATTTATTTTTACTTTTTAAGGAATCTACAAGGAGTTTTCCCCTTTTTTTTCTTTCTTCTTTCTTTTTTTTTTTTTTTTTTTTTTTTTTTTTTGAGATGCAAACAGAGTGCTCCCATCTGGCAACTCCCCAGATGCCCCAACTTCCAGGGTTGGGCCAGACCAGGGAGCCCAGGACTCAATCGGGGTTTCCCGTACAGGGGTCAGGAATGCAGTGACTTAGGCCACCATTGCTGCTTCCTTGCGTCTGCATTAGAAGGAAGCCAGAGTTGGTCTGGAGGTGGGCATCAAACCCAGGCACTCCAATATGGGTAACCAGTGTATTAACATCCTACCTGCTAGGCCAGTACCCACCCCAGGAAATTGGAAATGATTTATGTGGCTCACATCGGCAGCTCATATGATCTTCTGTCTAGCACTGCTCTGGAGAAAGCAAAGCTCCTGTCCTTTATTGGATGTAAAGGTTAAAAGAGACATGAACAGAAGTGTATAAACAATCACAAGCATTTATCAGCGTCTTTAATTGCATATTTTTTGATGTAAAGAAATTTTAAATAGGAAACTCAGTTTTGTAAGCCATTTAAACTAATATAGCTCTTTTATTTTTTAATTACAAAAGTAAGGCATGCTTAGTAGAAAAATGTTTGAATAGTACAGCAGTGTATCAGCTGTACAATGGAAACTGTTTTCATCGGCCTAAGTCCCAGTCCCCCCATAGCACCTGATGTCAGCAGTTTCAGGCTCGTGTCTCCAGGATGCTTTCTTCTTATTTTTGATTTTCACTTTGCTTTACTGATTACTTCTGACCTCTTATTTTTTATTTTTTTATTTTTTGACAGGCAGAATGGATAGTGAGAGAGAGAGACAGAGAGAAAGGTCTTCCTTTACCGTTGGTTCACCCTCCAATGGCCGCGGCCGGCGCACCGCGCTGATCTGATGGCAGGTACTTCTCCTGGTCTCCCATGGGGTGCAGGGCCCAAGCACTTGGGCCATCCTCCACTGCACTCCCTGGCCACAGCAGAGAGCTGGCCTGGAAGAGGGGCAACCGGGACAGAATCCGGCGCCCCGACCGGGACTAGAACCCAGTGTGCCGGCGCCGCAAGGTGGAGGATTAGCCTAGTGAGCCGCGGCACCGGCCCATGACCTCTTATTTTTTTTAAAGATTCATTTATTTGAAAGAGTGAAAGAGAGAGAGGTCTTCCATCAATTGGTTCACTTTCCAAATAGCTACAACAGCCAGGGCTGGGCCAGGCCAAAGCCAGGAACCAGAACTGCCTGTGGGTATTCCATGTGGATGGCAGGAACCTAAGTACTTGGGCCAGCATCTCTTCTTTCCCATAGCATTAGCAGGAAACGATTGGAAGCAGAGGCAGGACTTAATCCCAAGTGCTCTGATATGGGTGTGGGCATTTCAAGTGGTGGCTTAACCCGACGCACCACAGTGTCCACCCCTGTGACCCGATTTTTAATCTTTTTTCTTTTCTTTTCTTTTCTTTTTTTTTTTTTTTTAAGATAATTTGGGGATGGCAATATGGTATAGCAGGTTAAGCCATTGCCTGCAGCACTGGCATCCTATTTGGGCACCAGTTCAAATCCTGGCTGCTCCACTTCCAATCCAGCTCCCTAGTAATGTGCCTGGGAAAGCAGCAGAAATGACGCAAGTGCTTGGGCCCCTGAACCCAAGTGAGAGACTTGGAAACGGCTCCTGGCTTCGGCCTGGCCCAGCCCTGGTTGTTGTGACCATTTGGGGAGGGAACCAATAGATGGAAGACCCCTCCCTCCCTCCCTCCCTCCCTCTCTCCCCCCCCCTCTTTACCCCCTCCCCCCCCCCGTCACTCTGCCTTTCAAATAAATATTTTTAAAAAGATTTTATTTACATGAACGGCAGAGTGACAGGGAGAGAAAGTGATCTTCCATCTACTAGTACTAGTTCACTTGTCAAACAGCCATACTGCTGGGGCTGGGCCAGGCCAAAGCCAGGAGCCCTGAACTCTATCCACATCTACCACATGTGAGGCCGGGGCCCAAGCTTGGGTTCTCTTCACTACTTTCCCAGGTGCATTAGCAGAGAGCTGGATCGGAAGTGGAACCGCTGGAACTTGAACCAGCACTAATATTGGATGCCAGCATTGCAGGCAGTGGGTTAACCTGCTATGCCAAATGTTTCATATGTTGGACATTTTCCTATGTCAAAAAGAAATTCTTTTTCTAAAACTTTTGAGGATTATGAATATGTGTATATATATTTATTAGGTAGAATATGTTGGAATTATGTTTGTAATTATTGTTTATAGTGTTCAGCTATTTTGAAGTGAAGTATTAACTTAGAAACATTTTAAATAAATAACTTATAGTTTTATTTGAAAATTTATATTTTATTTATAGGTCCAAATTGATGTTTTGGTGCAGAAATGATTGGTCATGATAGAAGTTGGTGTTGAGTGCCATATATAATTTGTAATTTACATTGAAATGAAAACTTGGAAAGTGGTTAGTGGGGCGGTAATTTACTCAGAGGCCAAAAGGAATTTATAAATTTTGGAATTCTCTCTCTCTCCCTCTCTCTCTCTCACTTAATTTAATTTTTATTTATTTGAGACAGAGACAGACCAAACAGGAGCTTAGTCTAGATCTTCCCCTTGGGTGGCAGAGGCCCAGCCACTTGAGCCATCATCATCTGCTGTCTCCCTGAGCGCGTGTTAGCAGGAAACTGGAACCAGAAGCAGAGCCGGGACTGGAACCCGGGCACTCCAGTGTCCTCTGTGGGCATGTTAACGAGCAGGCCAAAAGGCCTGCCCCTCCTCCTCTCTTAATGAGTGACTAGCTTGGAAAATGAAACATTTTAGACTGAAATTAATGTTTTACTTATTTGTGTTTTTTTAACCAGGGGAAAAACTTAGAAAATATTAACCTCTTAATATGACTGATTAACATATTCTAAAACAAATGTTTTGTTAAAAACCCCTGTCCTGTAACAAAAGCATTGAGTGGCTCAGATATAGTCCATTGGGAATCGTAACCATAAAGCTGTAGATTATTATCAGTTTAGTGCCAGATGTTTGTAGTCACTGAGTTTAGATGAATGTCTTACTTCCAAAAGAAAAAAAAATCTAGACTCCACAGTAATTCAAATGTTTTATTCAGCAAAAGGCATCAAATAAACTTTACTGCCGACTGATAGACTGAGCCCAAACATACTATAATACATACAGCAAACCCAGGTTAGTATTTGTCATCTATGAAGAACACATAATGGCATCAACTAGAAAAGAAAATACAGACAAATGAGAAAGACACGAAGACCTTTTCACGGAAAAGCGTCCTGCAGGTCTAGTAAAACACTGGCTGTGGGCGAGCCAAAGCTCAGACACAGCGTCTCCATCGGGAATAATCCTTCCCGGTGTTGAGGCGAGTGTTGGACAAAATGAGAAAACATTGTTAGCAGAAGTTTCCAGTTTTGAAAGGACTTTTTGGCAGCATTGCCATGTTTTAAATTTTTATCAGAATTACTGTGTTCTCATAGTGTAAGAAGTGACAGGGCTAAGGCAGTCCCTTAAACGTGAGCTTTTTCTCCTGGGATCACTCTCATGGTTCCAGCAATACAGGTGTGCAGCTCTGTCGTCTGGTTTGGATATTGTCTGTTAACTTCTTGTTTCTCTAGATGAGAATTTATCCCTCTTCTCCCTTCGTACTCCCTTCGTACTTTGAATGGTTATACCACCCTCTGGAGTGGTTTGTCTTTTTATTATATGCAGTATGGTTTAGTTAAGATACGTTAATAAAATACAGATACAGACTCACTCTAGCAACCCTGATTAGTGAATTCATCATTCAGGTCAAATAGGTAATCATGAGGCCCGTGTGCTCCATTTTCTAAAGTTGACACTTTACTTTCACCTCACTTCTGAAATCATTCTGTTAGCACTTTCTATTATCTGGGGTAATAGTTCTTGAAGTCCACTGAAAAATTAATTTCCAACACTCCATAAATCTATTCTAAAGTTGGGTTTTAAGCACAGTTCAGAACACAATTACTGTTACTAGAATTCACCTGATAAACCATATGTAACATAATTCATTGCAGAATCACATTAAATGTCATCAATTAAACATGTTCTCCTTATAAACACTTGTTTTCATTATTAGAAAAAGGCCTTAAGTGCTTGGCAAGCAATTCTGCTAAAACTTTTTCTTTCTCTTTATAGGAGAGTTAATCTCGGCCTATCCGGTGTGAATATTTTGTGGATCTTTGGAGAGTAGCGAGTCGTTTAATTCCAAACATTTGGACTTTCATTTCACTGAAGCAGAATAAGCCTGTATGTGTTGTGTCCTGAAATAAGATACCACGCACACGTCGCGGACTTGCCGCCACTGTGCAGCTCCCATGTGTCGTCCAGCCCGTAGCCGGACACCCTGCCTTTGCCTTTCTGTTACATTGCAGAAGTTTAGTCGACTATAAAACTACAACCCTTTGGATTTTTGTTGATGCTAAATATATAATACAGTTCCCCTTTAACTAAATAGAGCCCTTTTTCATTATCACCCACACATGAAATCATCCACTTGACTCTTCAGGACACCGCAAAAAGTTTGTTAGGGTAAGTGTTCGAAAGAAAAGTATGAATTCAGCTTTTTGAATCTCTGTGTCTCTCATTTTTTGTAAGTCAGCCCCCAAGTCCCGTCTTCAAAGAAAGGAGATTGACTTAGAAGTAATGTATTAGCCCATGGATATTTTTTAAATGCGGGTAAAAGAGGTTTGACGTACTGTGTTTTTAAAAATCACCTCTTGGATAAAATGTCACTGGTAGAATTAAACTACTTGGGTTTTAGTGAAAAGTTTGAGACGTCAGGAAAACCCCCCATTTGGTTTTAGAAGCCCAGTTCTGTTGTTCTGTAACGTTGCGTTATTCTAGAACGGCCTTCTGTGAGACGTTATTCTAGAACGGCCTTCTGTGAGATCACACTGAGGCCCCTGCTGTGTAACTTTACTAGGGAGAGTGCTCAGACTGGAGAGGAGAGGTTACCAGGCCTGTCAGGTTGCCTCTGTCTGGGTTTTCTGTAAATACTTGCATAGGCAGAAGTTGCGTGTTCTTGATCGACATTGACGGCTTCCGCTGTTTCATAGAAACTTGAAAGCAGCTAACACCAGGCCTTTGTGAATGACCATGCGTCAGGATTGCTACGCATACCGTTTTGTGTAATTTGTCAAGTCTTTTTCATAAGTTACTCCCATATTTTGAAAGAGGATCTCCAAATAAAAGTAACTTCCCGTATTTTAACTGCTTTTGATATTTGTTTAAAAACATTTAATTAAACATGTTATGTGTGAGAACATGTTAAAATCGCAGTCTGTAATTTCAGGAGTTAAGGAAGATGGCATGCAGTACAGCTGCGACGCTGTTAAGCTGTATGCTGTGTGTACTTTATTAAGCATTAAGAAGAAAATACACAAGTGAAAAAGGTCTTTTTTTCTTTAAGGGACTGAAGGTAGCTTTTAGCTCAAAAATGCAAAGCTGTAATGTTTTAGCTGACTATCTGAAAGTACGAAAGGACTTGGGATACACACTAAAAAGGAAAAGTTTTCGTTTACATACGAAGTGAAGTGTGGGTTCCTGCACCCGGGGTAGCTTTTTTGCTTGTTAACTTTTCTTTACAGATGTTTGAGCCAGTCTGTACTTAAATAATCATTTTCTTAATAGAAGAAAACCTTTTGGGTTTTTCTTTGTAAAGATTTATTTGAAAGGCAGAGTTAGAGAAAGACAGAGATCTTCCATCTGCTGGTTCACTCCCCAAATGGCCACAATGGCCAGGGCTGGGCCAGGCCAAAGCCGGAAGCCTAGAACTCCATCCAGGCCTCCCACGTAGGTGAAGCAGCCCAGGCATTTGGGCCGTCTCCCTCTGCTTTCCCAGGACATTAGCAGTGGAGCAGCCAGGACTTGAACCGGCACCCATGTGGGATGCCGTCATTTCAGGGCGCAGCTTAACCCCCTGCACCGCAATGCTGCCCCTACATTATCATTTTCAGAAACAGTACTTTGGTGAATGCGTTCGAATTCACCCTTCAGGAAGACAATGCACTGCAAACAGAACAGAGAGGGTGGGGAGGGAGCCCTTGTGAGAGGCTGAGTAAACGGCCAATCAGATGTCAGTGCCCGGCTGCGCGTCACACGTGTTTCTTTCCAGCGCTTGATTGTCTTCATGGAGTCCACTAATCTCCGTTAGGTTCACCTTTTCTCCTCGGTCACTCTCAGCCTTTGCTTAAGCCGGATTGGTTTCCATGACACACAAGAAGGCTACGTTGCTTGATTTCTCAAACCGAAAGAAGTCTAAACACAGTGAAACCCAGCGGCCACGCCCAGCGGTGTCCCGCATGCTCCGCGCCCGGGGCTGAGGTCACATCTCAGACCAGCTCCCTGCTCTCCAGGCCTCCGTTCCCTGCACTGCATGCAGCCAGCCCTGCCCGAAGCTGCTGTCATCTCGGATTCCTTTAGCTCCCTGGTCCCCAGTCCAATCAGGCAGCAAACCTCATCCGTTCTTTCCTAACAAAGTCTCACAGCTGTCCCCTTCCATAGCTGCCACCACGGTGCTCATTTCCACCCTCCCTGACTCACCCAGGACTGCAGCAGTCTAATGAGTCTCACAGCCTCCTGACTGCCACACTTCCAGATTTTCCAATTCATCCTGCACATTCTGTCCCAATTTATCTTCCTGAAACACCTGTTTGATCAGTTCATTCCCCTGATAAATTCCTTAGCCTGACATTTAAAGCCCTCCACAATCTGGCCTCAACCTGGCCCTGTGCACCCAGATCCCCGGCTCCAGCTAATGCAGGCTGCTCACTCCTGCTCCCCCTGATCACACCCTGGGGACGCCCTTCCCAGGCCACTGCACCCCCTCCCACCTGGGACTCGGTGTAATGAAAGCTGCTATTTGGAGCTGGGCCTGACCACCCCAGCTGGCAGCCCAGGCGCCCCTGCGGTGATTAATCTGGGCCCCTCTTTAGCAATCAGGAACCATAGGAAGGAGTCAGAAGTGACTCTCAGCCTCTCCAACTGGGTCGTCACAGCTTGTCTCGTCCTCATGCAAGGATTCAGTTTTATACTGGCCTGAGCAGGGCTGCTACTCAGGAACACTGGTCATTGGCAGAAGCCACCTCTTGGGAGTGACTTGCATTCTCCCCTCTGAAAGACCTTTTAAGCCAGATGCACACCCTGAATTTCCTTTTGTGGCTGGGCCTGGGGCAGGAGACTGCTTAAAAAGGAACTGGAATAGGAGGACGACACAGCTAATTTCATGTGTTCTTGGGAGCCACCACGCCGCAGTCACACGTTGTCCCCAAGGACACGGGGGCTGTGGTGAGGAGCAGGAGCCGCCTGGCAGGCCCCCACTCACCCCCAGGGTCAGGGTGCCCTCCGTCGCAGCTGCCCCTGGACTATGGGTAGGGGCAGAAGCCTTTGAGGATAAGCAGCCCCTCGCAGAAGGCTTCTGGGGAGGACTGGTGTGGCACCTGCTCTGTCCGTCTGGTGTGGGGGATTGCACCACCAGGCCGTATGCTTGGCCTGTTCCGGGCTCTCTGCTGGATCTGCGAGATCGTTAGGCATTGTCCGTGAGCCACGTCTCTTATTGTTCCCTTGAACCATCATCAGCATGAGTGGGACCTCAACCAGGGATTAAGGAAGAGTCCCAGCACATCAGGTCCATGTGGCCCTGGTACACCATCAAGGATGGCAGTGACCCCAGGAGACTTCTCAGCAAACGGTCCCCGGCACGACTGGGGGTAAAGCTTTAAGATCAAAGTCAGGGGCCGGCGCTGTGGCGCGGCAGGTTAAAGCCCTGGCCTGAAGCGCCGGCATCCCATATGGGCGCCAGTTCTAGTCCTGGCTGCTCCTCTTCCAATCCAGCTCTCTGCCATGGCCTGGGAAAGCAGTAGAAGATGGCCCAAATCCTTGGGCCCCTGCACCCGCATGGGAGACCCAGAGGAAGCTCCTGGCTCCTGGCTTCGGATTGGCCCAGCTCCGGCCGTTGCGGCCATCTGGGGAGTGAACCAACGGATGGAAGACCTCTCTCTCTCTACCTCTCTCTGTAACTCTTTCAAATAAATAAAATAAATCTCTTTTTTTTTTTTTTTTTTGACAGGCAGAGTGGACAGTGAGAGAGAGAGACAGAGAGAAAGGTCTTCCTTTGCCGTTGGTTCGCCCTCCAATGGCCGCCGCGGCCGGCGCGCTGCGGCCGGCGCACCGCGCTGATCCAATGGCAGGAGCCAGGAGCCAGGTGCTTTTCCTGGTCTCCCATGGGGTGCAGGGCCCAAGCACCTTGGCCATCCTCCACTGCACTCCCTGGCCACAGCAGAGAGCTGGCCTGGAAGAGGGGCAACTGGGACAGAATCCAGCGCCCCAACCAGGACTAGAACCTGGTGTGCCGGCGCCGCTAGACGGAGGATTAGCCTAGTGAGCCGCAGCGCCGGCCAAATAAAATAAATCATTAAAAAAAATTCAAATTTCCTGCCCCAAAGCCAAAGTGAATGTTGCGAAGCCGTTCTGGCCAGGAGAGCACTGGGACTTGGTGCGGGGTAATTCATCTTTCACAGGTGAGCTCTGCTTCCAAGCCACAGGGCCTCTTTGCACCTCAGCAGCAGTTGAGAAGCTAAAAGTGAACATGATGACTGGCGGTGATTGGAAGTGAAGAGGAAATGTCCCTACGAAGTCTTTCATGATGGGCATTCCCCCTGGAGGTGAGGGCGCCTGAGTCCCATATCAGAGTGCCCAAGTTCAAGTCCTGCTCCAGCTCCTTGCCACAGCGACCTGCTGGGGTGCACCCTGGGAGGCAGCAGTGATGGCCTAAGTGGCTGGGTCCTTGCCACCCATGTGGGAGACCTGGACTGAGTTCCGGCTCCCAGCTTTGCCCTGGCTCAGTCGCAGCCATTGTAGGCTTTTGGGGAGTAAACCAGCAGGTGGGTGTTTCTCTGTCTCTTTCTCTCCCTGTCTCTCTACCTATCAAATAAAGACATTTTTAGAAAATGTTTTTTTTTTCTTTCTCTCCTGTCTAAAAATTATTTATTTGAAAGTCAGAGGCAGAGAGAGAGAGAGGTCTTCCACCCACTGGTCCACTCCCCAGATGGCCACAACGGCTGGAGCTGAGCCAATCCGAAGCCAGGATGCCAGGAGCTGCTTCCGGGTCTCCCATGCAGGTGCAGGGGCCCAAGCACTTGGGCCATCTTCCACTGTTTTCCCAGGCCATAGCAGAGAGCTGGATCAGAAGAGGAGCAGCCAGGACTCGAACCAGTGCCCATATGGGATGCTGGAACTGGAGGCGGCAGCTTTACCTGCTATGCCACAGCACCGGCCCCAATAAATACACTTTTTAAATGTTTTTAAGTCTTTCAGAATAACAAACAGTGTAAAATTTGAAAATGGCCTCTCTGGCATTTGATGTCAACTATCTCATCCTGGGCCTGTACTGAGATGGAGACCGTAGCAGCCTTAACTCCCACCCACCCGCGCCAACCGGCGGGGCCCAGCTGCCTCGCCCCCTGGAGCCCCCTCTCCGCTCCTGGAGCCCCCTCTCCGCTCCCGCACCCCCCAGACCTGGCCTTCCCCCAGTCAGACACAGTGCCGGCCTTGTGTCCCGAAGGCTGCGCTTTCTGGTATACTGAGAAAGTACTGTCTCCTTCCCTTCCCATTCCCAAACCAGAAGGAAAAAATAACAGCCCTGAATCAGGCCCTGCTTTCAGGAGCTGCACCCTGCAGGGGGAAGGCGGAGGGGGCGATCCGCTCTGCTGGGGGCGAAGCTTGTTTTCGCGGGGGCCCAGCCGGGCTGGATTCCTGCTCAGACGCACGGCGCGGAGACTGGGACCAGGCAGCGCTCTGATACTTCTGGCGCAGAACACAGGCACCAGCGTACTGAGCTGAGATCCGGAGAAAGGCCCCTTGTGTTCCTGGGGAGGAGAGGGCTCACCCACTGGACAGCGCAGGGGTCGGCAGCCCAGCTCACCCGGGAAAGACGTGGTAGACGCAAGTCTGAACTGAGCCCAGCCCTGGCCCTGGTGGTTCGCGAAGGTGCTACGTGGGTTCCAACCCGAGTTACTTAACCACCCTTAAAAAGAAACTTGGTACAATGCTCTGCCTTCAGTTAAATACTCTGCACAAGTTCTTGAACTTTTTTTTTTTTTAATGCTGTCTTGGAAATTCCTGGAGTAAGCTGCCTTAAAGTGGTGGTTAACTTCCACTTAGGCCAAGTACTACAACCAAACTGGGAAGCAGAACCACATCCTACAATAAAA